GCTAGTTAGTTTAACAGCACACATGTAGACAGCCCCCGGGGAAATGCACGAACAGCTTTTTCCATCGGCCTAGGAAGCACAGACACGCAGGGAATACTGTGTAGGAGAACGCTGGTTAGGGAAATGCGGTCTGGCAGCCGCTGCGTTAACGTAAAGCCAGCAGTTTTTCATGCGTTATTGCAGTTGCAGATGTTTTTGTTTTTGTTGGGGTTTTTTTTTTTTTTTTTTCTCGTTCATTCTTGCTAAGGAAGACCTCCATGTTCTGGAGCGTTTAATCGTTAAAGTCACTTTTGTTTTTCCAGTTTCATAAAAACGTTTTAACCGCACATGCTAGCGTTCACTAGGCTGCCGTCCCCGCCTCTCCATGTGGGTTCCACTTTTGTTTTTACAACATGCTCGCAACGGGAGACCAAACGTTCTGTAGGGTAAATGCAGGGGTGTGGAGGTGGTCAATCCGACTGCCTTCTTAGGTCGTGTTTATGACTGCGATAACATGCGACTTCAGTAGCCTTCAGATATGGAGCATTTGCACAGATCCAGTGAAGGAAAATTCAGCTTTTAAACTGAATACAACTCCACTCCCTGTAGTACATATAACAGGCCTGTATGTGGTGCTGTGTCACAAACACTCTAGCATACTAACACCAGAATAATTTGTACCAAAGAGCATGCATACAAATTAGGGATGGCCCATAATATTGGTAAGCCGATATTACTGGCCCGATATTAGCATAATTATTTTATATCGGTAAGCATCGTTATTGTCTTTTCCTCCGATAATGAAAATCCGATAACACAATGCCTGGGTTTGGACAAATATGCTGGAATTGCTTATAGGATCCTGAGACGTTTACCTCAGTTGTGGGGCAAACGGTTGCATATATTGGTATTGGTTGATATCGGAATCGGAAATTAAGTGTTTGGACAATATCGGCAAAATGTTAATATCGGACCACCTTAGTATAAAGCTTGCAAACTTGAAAGAGAAGCAGGGATAGACAAAGGTGGCTAACTGTAGCACACTAGATAGCCAAAATTAGCTTCTCCAGCACGGTCAGAAGGAGCATGGTCTCCACCATTGTTGTTATTGTGTGGGGATTAACAGGGTTGAAAGGTCACAGAGAGGCGGGGCTGACCATGTCGTCTCACCTTCCTCCGTTGACACGGAAACGCAAGAGTCGGAGTTTATACCAGTACTCGTTAAAAACACAGAGTTCCTGCCCCAAAACTCCGTATTCGTCTGAACGCAATAGCTTCAGGATCCGTAGTGGTATCATCGCCGTGTAAACGCGACCTTATTGTAATCATTTCAGCCTAGACTTCAGTCCCGCTGCACCCAGACTCAGTTGGGTGTTCGGTTTCTTTCGAGCAGTGTCAGCTGCTCAGAGGCCTTTGTATATACAGTTTCTTAACCCCTACTTCAGCCTTTGTCCTGTGCAAAAACTGATAATTTTACGCTGCCAGTGACATCGACTGCTCGGACCACAGGTGTCATTTTTTCATTGGTTACGACTTCAAAATAAATTCCTTTCCCAGAGTGCCTGTTTCCTCACCAGAGGCTGGGATTTCACCACCTCTGCTGATTTACTACAGTCCCTCGCTCATGGTCGTCCAGTCAAGTGGGGGTTATGGATTTCCCACAGTGCCCTGTGAAGTGGGGAAGTTGTGGTGAAAAAAAAAAAAAAAACGGTTTAGGTGCTGTGGGAGTATAATTGAAGCGATGTGTTTCCTCGAGCAGCTGCGAAGAAAGTGTTGTTTTTGTCACTTTGATCTCGATCAACTCCTGAGGTGAAAAGCTGCAGAAACAATCATTATGTTTTTAAACAAATCAAACAGGAATCTAGAATGTTGGTTCGCAGTAACGCACAGGCAATCATGTGTCGGGATGTTGGATATTAACTTATATACGATATGCCGATATTGTCAAAACACTTAATTTCGGATTCCGATGCTATCTGATACCGATGTAGCGGCCTAGTGGTTAAGGAAGTTAAGTGTCGCCTGCTCACTAAGGTGATGGGTTAAAGCAATGTATCTCAATTATTTTCTGCCATGCCCCCCCTAGAGGACAGAAATTTTTTCACCCCCCCAAATTGAAATACTATTGAACGTCTGAGTTGCTGCACCAGAATTCTGCATAAAATCCCCTGATTGTTCAAATAGATTAACAAAATGAGCTGCAATGCTGCCATCTAGTGACTTTCACTTTCCTATGCAGTCGTTTTTCCCCAAAACTATTTTTATCTGACACATCATTTGGTGAAAACCTGGCATTGCGTTATTAATGAATCGTTATCGGTTTTTCCTCCGATAACGATTCATGCAGATGTTCCATAATTAGGCTAATATCGGGCCGATAATATCGGTCAGCTGATATTATCGGACGTCCCTAATAATATGAGTAATGTGCTAACAAGGTAGGGTTCCGCATTGGTAGGTTTCATGATGCGGTGGACGGTCGTGAACCTTTCACGTGATGAAGCCTGTCTGTACACAATCCTACACGTCCATAAAACTACAGACACCTGACTTGGTCGCCGTCTGTATGAAGGTCACTGTTCTTTGAATATGATTTACATCTTTGTCCATGTGACTCGACCACGAATTTGTGGGTTCGACATGGGCTCGATGTTCTCTCTGTTATAACAACATGTAGGAACGCACTTAATGTTTAAGACAATAAATCCACTCCAGTATAAGTGCAGCTTCTATCCCGACTCCCACACCGTGCTAATTCATTGCCCCGCCATGCAGATCTGCCCATGATGGCAGATCAAAGGCCCAGAGAGCAGCACATCACACACACACACACACACACACACACACAGTCATCTGATCTCATGAGACCAGGGATCACGTTCATAACTTGCCGGATCACTACACCCAGGGAATTGTCACTCGGCCCGTCTCAGTTCGTAGCCGTGTCTGCTGAAAGGACCGCGGGTTTGTCACAGAAACAGGATTATTTTCCACATCACAAACGGATCTCCGACGGATTGTCTGCGATATTATTTCCACCTGATTTCGATGACGTTGTGAAACAGGAGAAAGAGCCTTGTGTAAATGCTTCCCTGGAGTCGTGCCAAGTGGTGTTCACAGCACGTTAACGTTACAGTGTTGTTCTTCGTGACCTCTGAACGTTGAAATATATATTTTTAGCCCTTCCCTGTGGGCGCAGTCGACAGTGAAGTCATCCCGGTCGGAGACATTTTGCAGTTGCTTGTTTATACAAATGTAGCCAAAGGCTTCCTGAAATCACCGTGTGGCTGGATTTACAGAAATATAAAAAAAATATATTTGGTATCAGAGGTTCAAACTTTCTCATGTCAAGTCAACCCCAAACAGCATTAGCTTGTTGCGAACAGGCAATGCTACAGGATGTGCAAAGAAACATCAACAAATCTTTACAAACATCTTTTTTTTATCTTATTTCCACTCAATGATAAACTTAATAACAAACCAGTGATCTGCTCCTTGGTCTATTTCTCGTCAAAAACGTCCATTTTGCGCTAGCTAGCTACACACGTTCAGGTTCCATCGGAAACTTGAGAACAGGACAATAATGGCAGTGTCGTATACTATGTAATCTTATCTTCCCTCCAATTCACCGAGACTCCCCCATGCGGCCCCATGAAGGGTCCACGGGCCCTCGCTTTGACAACCACGCTTTTATAGATAAATGCCTTTTCTTTACACATAAGAAAAAATGGAACGTGAAAAGCCATCAAAATATGGAAAAGGAATTCAGACACCCCCTCTTTACCCCCCCTGCCCCCCATTTGCAGCCACACAATGGGACAACAAAGCCCAACAGAGCAGGCATTGTAGAGACGACACATGTCCATGCATGTCCCTGAGACACTGAGCCACAGCACCAGGTTTACTTCATTATGTGTCGACAAAGAGTTGTGGCCTTGTGAAAAAAAAAAAAAAAAAGGGTTTTTTTTTTTTTTTTTCTCCCTCGTGTTTTTGACAGAAGCGTTTCACCTGTGTTTTGATGGGTGGCGTCCCTCAGGGCATTCCCAGCGCCCGGTCACAGGAGCCCTCCTACTCAAAGAGGAAAACAACACTAACAGTGTAGTCCCGGTCCTAACACAGTTGTCAGGAGAGGCTGTTGCCTCAGCTGTGTCCTGTCCAGCTGCGGTCTGAGGGTCCTGTGTACTGGACGGTGGTGGTGGTGGTGGTGGTGGTGGTGGTGGTGGTCAGTTGGCCCGTTTTTCCCGAAACGGTCAAGATCACGACAACTGTGCGTTGACGAGGTGGAGAAGATTCGCCCCCCCGAAAGGCCCGAGCGTTACTTTTCTTCTCAGTCCATATTTTTGGTGTAAAAGTATTCCTCTGGTATTTATGGTATCTGAATAGATCACCGAGTCACCCTGGGTATTATGGGTATTACGCAATTATAGAATCGCCCACATTTTCCACAGAGAGGTCGTTTTGGGGAAAGAAAAAAAGGCAGTTTATTTGCGGCCTTTCTTCATTTTTCTCCGTTCTTCGTCTGCGACGCTGATTATATCGTATTTACTCAACCCCTGTACTTTTTCTCTCTTTAGAAACCCTGTTGTTTACTCCGCTGCAGTCTAATCTGTCATCTGTGTCGTCTGTCTTTTGTGTCACAGGACTGCAGTGTTTACGAGATGGAGGAGAAGATTCTGGAAGTGGTGAGGATCCTGTCATATCTAATATAAACTCGTCTCTGAAGCTGAGGGTCTTCTAACATCAACAGTTTGATTGTTGCTTTCAAAATTGACGTGAATCGTGTGACGTGTTGTCAAAGTCAAACGGAGCAGAAAGGTCACTGGAACAGTGGACAGCACTCCGGTCTGTAGTGGAGGGGGCGGCTCGAGTACGCCCCCAACCATCAATCAGTGTTTCCTGTTGCTGACACTTGAGCCATCTCCCCCGTCTGTCTGTCTCTCTCTCATTCTCTCTCTCTCTCGCTCTCTCTTTCTTGACATTTCTCTAAATTGATAATTCCGTCATTTGCATTAGTCAGGATTCAAACAGCTGTGAAACACAGACAGATACAAAATATTTTTTTAACATTATACATCTATTTTTATATTTAAGAATGTGAGAAAAAAAAATCTGGATTAATCATGATGAAGCGTGTCTAATTTACGTCACGATTAATCACGATTAATCGTGTTAAATCCACTTCTACCCTGTGATTCACCGGATAGAAAAATGATCTAATCTTTTAACAGCCCTTATTTTGTTTTTCTGTCACACACCAGACGTGTGTAACGAGTTAAAATAATCACAGGCGTCAGAAAGACTGACTTGTGACTCATGTCACACATCAGAGTCACCCCTTTCATCACTTTGTTTAAAAGTTTTCTGGATTCTTCAGTTTGTCGCAAAGAATGAGGAAATAATTCCTTTTCATCATCATTCGTCAGTTTATGGCTAAATGTGTTAAAACAGGGGGTGTCAAACATACGGCCCGGGGGCCAAAACCAGCCCGCTGTGGCGTTCCATCCGGCCCGCTTGAATGAATTTTAAAAATTAAAAAATACAAAAAATATATGTGAACAAAAAACATTTTATTAAATATGAATACAAAATAATAAATATCTAAAATACTTGTACTTGTTTGCATGAAAATGAAGGGAAAAAAAAAAACATAGACTTCATGTTATTTATAGATAATTATGTTATGATTGTACTGGTACGACCCTCTTGACACGGCCCCTGAAACAAAATGAGTTTGACACCCCCGTGTTTGAACTAAAAGACTGTGCTACAAAAAGAACGAGGAGGCAGTGGGTCAGGATGTGAACCAATCAGCACCAAGTACGGCAGTCAAAAACAACGACCTGACACAGGGAGGAAGTATTTATGTTGAGGATTCAGGAAAAACACCGTGACCTGTTCCGACCTGTCAGGCCGACACCTCAGCTGCCACTTCTTAAAGACACAGCGCACCGTCGGAGGCGTCAACACTTTCCTTGTTGTCAACGTAATAACTTAATGAGGGTCTTGTGTTCCGTGTTTATTGTTCTTAACGCCCCACGTTTTGTTTCCCTGTTTTTCTGCAGTCTAAGATTTTGAACAACATCTGCGATCAGACGGTAAGGACGACCTCTGACCCCCTGATGAGCCAGTCCGCCTGTCTGGAAGAAGTCCAGCTGAACAACATCAAACCAGGAGAGGGCCTGGTGAGAAACCCCCACCCCTAATTCTAATCTCACTTTCAGATTTTAAGGCATATCTTCTTAGGAATGCCTGTCCAATCAGGATCATCACTCATGTCCATCTGTCCTCTGATTGGTTGTAGGGGATGTACATCAAGTCTACGTATGACGGGTTGCATGTCATCACCGGAACCACGGAACATGTGAGTTTTACTACGATGCTCTTTATACTGAGTTATTCAGTCATATAAAGCAGGGGTGCCCAACCCCTGGTTCGGGGACCGGTGCCGGTCCATATGTCATTGGGTACCGGGTCGCAGTGGGACACGGTAGAAAAAAATGTACTTCAGTTTTACTAATTCCAAAGTAATATTCCCTTTCCTGTTTTCATTCAAAGATAATTTGATACTAACAGAGGAAAGAAATTTTAATGATCTTTAATCGTAACAGAAGAAAGTCTGAAAGATGGTTTATTTAGAAATTTTAATGATCTTTAATCAATTCTTCAACGATGGAGTGATATTACTAGGGCTAAAGGTTAGGAACCGTTGATCTAAAGAGATTCAAACTCTTACAAGTCACAGAATTCGGTCCATATTTATAGTTGTTTTTTTCAAGCTCCAAATGTGTCATACTTCCTGTTCTTTTATTAGTCCTGCTGTGATACAGAGGACTCTGGGAGTTGACTGTAACTGGAGGAGTGAAGAACTACTCATCCTTGGAGAAACTTCTTCATTTCCATACTTTTCGTCCCACTTATTATCACCAAAGGCAGCCAAAATCAGGGGCGTCCTACCTTTTCCCGACACCGAGACGACCAGTCTGTGACTAATGCAGCAGCATCTCCAGCTCCACCACAGTGGCTTCTTCACACCTCCGGCTGTTAGTCGTGACTCAGGCCCTGAGTCATCCGCAGTCATTACCTGTTATCTCGTTTGTCATCTGACTGACATGTGAACAGATATTGATCAGCAGTTTTAAATATTATTTTGATTATTTTCTCACCATATTCAGACCTTACTAATGGAACAGGAATGAGACGACAGAAACTCCAGCGTCACTAAACATTCATGTCTTCTTCTGTCCAGTCTGCTGCAGACCTGAGCCGGAAGATCCACGCAGGAGATGAGGTGATCCAGGTCAACCAGCAGACGGTGGTAAGAAACAAATCCACTTTGTTTTTCTGATTCCAGGCTGGGTGAAAAGTTTGAGACTTTAATGACTTTAATATGTTAAAACACGTCTGTGTGGCGTCTCAAACAGCTTCGACGAGTTTTATAATTACATCTCTGTCGAGTGTCGGGTTGTGTTGTTGTCACAACTGATTTGATCAGGTTTATTCAACCCAAGAAATGAACCAGAGCAAACGTCTTCATTCCTAACCAAACATGAAAATGAACCGTTAGATTAGATTAGATTAGATTAGATTAGATTAGATTAGATTAGATTAGATCGGATTGAGTCGGGTAGGGTTTGGTTGGATTAGATTAGATTTGATTGAGTTGGATTTGATTAGATTGTATGTGTACTTTTCAGATACACCATGTTTTAAATGTGCAACAAAAACTTGCTTATTATGACATTTAGAATTAAACAGTGTCAAAAATGCTCTAAATAAAAATTGGACTAGATTAGATACAATTAGATTAGATTAGATTTGACTAGATTAGATTGGATTAGATTAGATTGGATTGGATTAGATTAGATTGGATATGGATTGGATTGAGTTGGGTTAAGTTGGGTTGGGTTCGATTAGATTAGGTTAGGTCAGGTTGGATTGGATTGGATTAAATAAGATTAGATCAGACTGTCTTAGATTACATTAGGTTGGACTGGTTTAGATTGGATTTGGTGGAACCAGATTAGATTAGATTATGATGTGGTTCCCTACTGTAGTAGTGTTAAAATGACTGCCTTAGAACCAAAGAGCATGGAGTCCTGTGTTCGATTCCCAGAGGAACCCCTTAGGAACTAATGGCGCCTCCTCCTCTTTTGCGTCGCTTTGAATAAAAGTGTCTGCTGAATAAATGAAAATATTAGAAATGAATTTTCTCTGAAACTTTAAATCTTGATTTGAATCTAAGATTTTAGTCCTGAATAGAAAATATGTGGCCAAATAACCACACATATCTTCTAACTTTTTGAGCTACTCGTGTATATTCGACCAATCAGTATCCTACACTTCGGTCATCACCCATGATGTGAACGTATCTCTGTGTCCCCCTGCTGGTCTCCAGGTGGGCTGGCAGCTGAAGAATCTAGTCGTTAAACTGAGGGAGGACCCCAAAGGTGTGGTCCTTCTCCTGAAGAAGAGACCCACGGGGACCACAGGGTTCACCCCCGCTCCACTCAAGAACATGCGCTGGAAACCTCCAGTACCTCAGGTACAAACACACACACTCACAAACACACAAACACACACGGCGAGCAAAGCCATGTCATTGTCAACAGGTGATCAGATTTTAGGGAGTTGGTTCTTTCAACAACAACAAGTTCAGACAGGTGTCACACACACACAGATTCTCGTATAGAGGACTTAATAAATGCACATTAGAGAAGTCTGGTGATGTCACTCCGTCTGCCGGATAATCCTGCCAGATTTGACTGTTTACCGTCTGGTGGGATTTCATCTGTGTTGTTATCTAAACAAAACCAAAAAAAAAACCACAGATAATCTCCCCAACTCTCAGTGTTCAAGAGAAACCCACACAGGATCGGGGGGGGGGGGGCTGGATTAGCAGTGTAACCGCAGCTCCACAGCTGGGTCCACGTTTGACAGACGAGACAACTGTAAGGCTACACTGCCAGAACCGAGACACTAACCGCGCTTCGTCGCAAAGTTGTTTTTATATACGGATACTGAGGAGGAAAGATGAGAGGCTCCCCGAACAACAAAGAGCCTCTGAGCTCAGAGGTGGCGGACGTCAACATGTCCAGCAGCACCTCGTTTTAACAACCACTGGGTTGTATCAGAGGGAGCCGTCTCACCGTGGAAGGGGAAGGCTCCGGAAGGCGGAACTGAGTGAAATCACAACCGCTGTGTTTCAGAAGTGAACGACATTGACTTTGTAACGGTATATCATTTATATGACGTTAGAAAAAACCAAAGAGTGAGAACAGTGATCTATGAAAGGATCAGAAGGCCTGGTCTTAGGTTGTCATGTGGGAAAATGTCAACTATTTGCTGATGATGTCATGATAATTTTCAGTCTTGTTTTGCAAAAAAAAAAAAAATCTGTATTTACTAAAAAAAACATACAGGCTGCAGAAAGAAGTTACACAAAACAACAATCTGATACTTGGTGTCGGTCCGATATATAGTCCGTCCGATCCGATACCTAAGCCCAAATGCTCAACATAACACTATCGCTAACACTATGGACACTATCGCTCCAACAACAGCGGCCCGTGGTTAGAGGAGAACAGCAGGTATCAGATTGATATCGGTATCGGCAGATACTCAAAGTCGCAATTGCGTTGGTATCGCACATAAAAAAAGTTGTATCGAGCCATTCTTAAGAAGTGCCTTAAAAGGCCACGTAACTTTGGAGCTACTTACGTCGTAAAAATGCATTTCATCATCATTTCCACTGATTTAAGTTATTTCGCTATATTTATTTTTGTTGGAGAAATATATTTGCGTGAATACCTGTGTTAACAGTTCCCGCTAGTTTTGATTAACAGCTGTGACTCCTCCACCTTCTTCAGACCAATCACATGTCAGGTGGCAGCGTGCCTTATCAGCTGATATTACAGAGGCGTCAACTTCCTGTCAGGAAGTTGACAGCTAGGTTACGCCTCCTGCTGTCAGGTCAATCCCTCATCGCAGTTCATCATCCTGAGTGCTCGTTTTTATATTTTCACTGACTCTACGATCCATCGATGGTATCGGTTTGGAGCAACTTCGCTAAACCAGACTTAACTCTGGGAATCTGCCGTGTTTCACTTTAATAGTGCGACTGAAAAAAAAAACAACTTTGGAGCTCCCTCACCTGGAGTAAAAAGCTGGAGTTTTCCAAAGCTACACATTCAGGAATAGAAGAAAATTTCTTGGTGCCCTGAACGCGATCAGCGACTAGTTGACGTCAAGCTCTAAACCTCGTGGTACGATGAGTGTGTTCAACCCCTGGTATATGGAATCATCTGGTCTGATGGCAGGGAATGGTATTCCAGGGCACCATCTTGTTAAGTGTGGGGGGGGAACATAACTGTGGTAAATGAATACAGTTTTAAGTACACGTCTCCGCGGCTATTTTGGACTTCACTTACAATCTTTCCATACCTCAAACAAGAAGGTTTATACTGGAGGAGACGCACAAGTACTTTAACGTCTCGCCACATGTGGTGGGCTCCTCCCATCTGCCAGTGTATTTACAAGAAAAAAACACAAACTGTTGGGAATTACAGACGGTGTCGCAAATTTGTCGTTACACGTTTTTTTAAGCTTCTGTTCACCGGTGTGAGTGGAAACACGTTTCTGTGTGTGATGTTATGCTGGGGTGGTATATTTGTATATGGGTGTGTATATGTGTGTGTGAAAGTGCTAATTATTTGTGGTGTGTTTCCCAGGGCAATTCCTCATTCGTCAGAGCCCAGTCTCCCTGCGGCTCTGCTAACGGGTCGACCAAAAAAGAGAAACCAGCAATCTACGACTTGTACATCCCCCCTCCTCCTCCCATGCCATACACTCCACGGTGAGCTCTCTTGTTATTATAATTACACATTTTTATTATTTTTATTTCATCGACCTGTCTTTTTTCTGAGATCTTTAAGTAGAAACACGTGGATAAGTGGTTGAAGAGTTGAGTCATATATTTGATGCCTGTAGAAGAAACAGATGAGTCTGATTCATATCATTCTACAGTTAAAGTTGTGTCTTGGTTTGAAATTTATTTACTTCACATCTGGTTTTTAACAACACATCTGAGCAAATAAACCATTTGATTAGACTGGATTGGATTAGATTATATTATATTAGATTAGATTAGATTAGATTAGATTAGATTAGACTGGATGAGATTGCATTGGATTGGATTAGATTAGATATGACTGGATTAAATTAGGATGGGTCTGGATTAAAATGAGATTAGATCAGATTGGACTGGATTAAGATTATATTAGATTAGACTGGATTAGATTGGATTGGGTTAGATTAGATTAGATAGTACTGGATCAAATTAGGTTAGATGGGTCTGGATTAAGATGAGATTAGATTAGGTGAGATTAGATCAGATTGGACTGGATAAAGATTATATTAGATTAGACTGGATGAGATTGGATTGGATTAGATTAGATCGGATTGGATTGCATTAGATTAGATCGGATTAGATAGGACTGGATTAAGATTAGATTAGATTAGATCAGATTTGACTGGATTAAGATTATATGATTGAACAGGAAGAAGAAGAAAATAATTAAATATTCTTAAATGTATAATAAAGTGGAGACTTTGTTAAAGACAACTTGGTTTTTAACAACAACTCAAACTGAGCTCGATGTCTGGTTTAAAAAAAACAAATGTAAATTTTTATTTCACACGTTGCTGTCGGTGAAGTCAGTCAGCAGCGAAACATTTTCTGCGTTCGTCCCGACCCTCGACGGAGGCTGATGTCGATGGTTCCGTCCTGGTCTTTTATGCTTTCTTAGCTTCCAGCCCAAACTCAGCGGTCCAGGCCGTCGTTCAGTCAACCGTTGCACACTTCCTCACCCAGGCCTGCGATTAATGGTTCCTCGGTGTTCTTTTATAGTTCCACTCCGTCTTTCCCTTCCAACTGTATTTTCTGCTGTTCCTCCTCAGCCAACTGGTCCCGGGACCAGTTTCACCACAAACGGCTTCGTCTTAAACCCAGGAAGACGACAGAATGTACAAACTTGGGTTGAAGTGCTTCAGGGCCTTAATCTTTAAAAAACACGTTTGAAACCGTGTCACATTGATATAAATTACCCCCGTGACGTGAATTGCCCTCAAATCATATCGTAATGACGGTTTTCTTCTTCCCACCTAAACCCTTCCAAATGAGCACGTTGTGCCGCGGCCAATAACAGCGCTTGAATCTCCCCGCAGAGAGACGAGGATAGAGTCCTTCTCCAGCATCAGCAAAAGACCAAAGGGCTCCGAGTCACCCAACTCCTATCTGGACCACGAGAGTCGGAGACGCGGCCCCGTCCCGGACTACGACAAGATAAACATGGGCTGCCCCATCGAGGCCAACGTCATCCAGCCCAGAATGCGGGAGCACAAGCCTTCACGTTGTAAGTGTATTCTCCACAGGGGGCAGTATTTCACCCTGTGTAAATAAGAAGTATAAATGTGAATACTCTGTACTGTCCGCAGGTAAGCCGAGGCCGCTGTCGATGCCGGTGGACACCTGCGTTGGAATCGTTGATCCTTACGCCAAACCTTGGGCAAGAAAAGGTCAGGAGTTAATTTTTTTTTTTTTTTTAAACGACAGATAGTTTAGAAAAAAGGGAAGGGAGGCAGGGTGAGGTGGGGGCAGGAAGGTGGAGGAGGATTTACCGGACAGTGATGAGACCTTGTTGGGAAACAGAACTGAAGGAGCCCAAAAAATGCCCCAAAAAATTCTAGAAGAAACTGAAACCAAATAATAATAATAACTGAGTCCCTTATTTGTCCCACAAAAAAGTACATGGTTGCAATTTACAGGTTGCCACAGGAGGCGCCATTAAGTACATGGTTGCAATTCACAGGCTCCAACCGGAGGCGCCATTACGTATGTGGTTGCAGAAGAAGTTGCGATATACTGCGATACTATAGGCTCTACGCTATATTGAATTTTTTTAAACAAATTGATTGTAGTAAAACTGTCAGCATGGTAAACACAATGTGTTGAAGAATATCGATATGGTATCGCAAAACGATGTATTGACATATATCGCGTATCGGTATTTTCTTAGTTGATCGATCGTGGATTTTCATTCGATTTTTTTTTCTTTGCTCTTCAGGTGACGACCTCTACAGATACCTGAGCAACGAGAGAATCCCAACCATCGTGGAGGAGGCGCCCTCGGTGTCGTCACCCTACCGGCCCAGCGGAGAGCGCCACCTGGTCAGAGTGGACCGCATCCGTGGCAGCCGCTACTACTCCAACAATGACCTCCACAGCAGCGCCACCATCCCCTATCAGGAGGACACCAAGAAGACGCCCGTAGCCTCCGTCTCCAAGCGCACCACAGCAGATCGCTCCCTACTGGTCAGTTGGATCACGCGGCTTAAGCTATTGACTCACTGATGATGCGCTTCCTGTCCAGGGCTTCCTGTCCCTGTCTTGTGTCCTTCTTCAGTGCCTTTAATTTTTTTTTTTTTTTTTTCAACGTCCAGCTGTTTTTTTTGGCAGCTTTGGGCTTTTCTCACACTACTTTCTCCCCCCGACCTCCCATCCCCCCCTGGTGTTACTACTACTAGCAACTACTACTACTCTTCAGTCGAACGTGTTTATGTAGTACTCACTACATCACGCCATCACCCCTAACACTGCCTCACAGCACCCCCCCCACCCCACCCCCCCGTGATTGTTGACTCCAGGTCCCAGCTCTGCCTCAGGAGGACACGCTGTGATCAGGGTTAGGACACTCCCTGTCCTTTTGGGCACTTCCTGTCCTCACGGTCTGTCTCTGGACTCTGTACAGATGTGACGTTGTCTTTTAGTTCTATATACTCCCCCTCCCCCTCCCCCCTGTTTTTGTTTAGTTGCCTAAGTTATTCAGACTTTTGAAAGACCAACCGTATCATGTTAGAGAAACTGCTTTGACGTCACATGTTTGTCTTTTTCGTTAAGTTCCACTCCTGTGATTGGTTGTGTTGCGTTGCCAGTCGTTGCCTCCTGTAAGCTATGCATTTTCAAAACAATCGAATTTATATTATCGGCCTGATATTAGCTTAATTGTGTAATATCGGTAAGAATTTTTAGTGTTTTTTTTCTCCAATATTGGAAATCCGATAACACAATGCCTGGGATTTGCCAAGTTTGTTGGAATCGCACGTAGGGTCAAGAGACGTTTACTCAGTTCTCGAGGCAAACGGTTGCATATATCGGTATCAGTAGTTTGTATCGCACGTAGGGTCCTGAGACGTTTACTCAGTTCTGGAGGCAATCGGCTGCATATATCGGTATCAGTTTATATAAGTGTTTGGACAATATCGGCAGATCGGATATGGGCAAAAAGTTATTATCGGACATCCCTTAATTAGTCCCTTTATCTGACAGCGCTGCTTTGGTTGTTAACGGGACTTTAATATTGTGTTAGTGTCGAACATATCTGCGCTGGTCTAAAGCTATGCAGCACATTTACTAAACCTACAGTTACCCCCCCCCACGCCCCCCAAAAGGGACGCCTTTTTACTTACAGCCGGATTCACAGACAAATCCAGTATTTTTGCAGCAGTGGTTTAAATCGGTCACATGACCCTCGTGTTGGTTGATGCTACAGACAGACCTCATTTTCACAACAAAACAAAATTACAGTATTATTTAAGACGATGCAGAGAATGGTTGTGTGTTGTTGCTTTTTCTGCCTTTTGTAAAAAAAAAAAAAAATATTTGAGTAACGTTTATTAAAAATGTCAGTTTTTCTGTCATATTTTGTATTGTCTTCATTTTGACTTTTTTGTGGAGTTACTTCTTTGCTACAGCTAACGAACACCCCCACCGCACACACACTGCCCTGTTGTTCTTGATGGGCTGCTTGCATTACACGTGTATCTTGTGCAGCAGATGGCGCCCTTCTGACCTCTGGGCTGAATTTGTAGGTGTCACTGAAACTCAGTAGCTAATATCACAGGAGGAGGTGCTGATGGAATAATTCCTGCTTTGAAAAAAAGGGGTCGGGGTGAAAAGCAGGAAACCTTATTCCTGCACATATGTTGAATTTTAAACATTTAAATGCGAGGTGTAGGGTTTCTCTGCCTGGAGCTCGGCTCACATCTGAAGATCTCACCCCTGTAAAGAATGACCCCCCCACTCTCACCCCTCTCTCCCCTGCATGTCTTACTGCATGACTTTGTTGATGTTGACGTAGACCAGGGACTTCTTTCCTCTTCTTCACTTCCTCCTCCTCACGCCTCGCTCTGCCCCAGCCTGTCGAGCTCTGGTCGCCTGCGGTCCTCACTAATTTGCACTTTCTGAAAACCCTAAACACCACCTGCACTCTGTTCCTCTGACTGCTGAGCATGCTACCTGCTAACCTGCTAACCTGCTAACTCTGCACCACACGCTGTAGCACAGGACTTTCATGATGAAATATTGATTTTGCATGTGAAATAATGGGGTGAATGTTCAGGGTTTGGGTTGTTTTTTTTTTTTTACTTGATTTTTAAGTTAAAGTTTAAAACAAAAGATTTAAATGGATAAAGTATTATAATTCATATCATGCAGTCGTGCTTCATGAAGCTCAAAGAAATACCATTGACAAGAGAGACTCCAGCTTCCACATGCGTTAACACACAGATCTTTATGTATCGCAGGAACCTGATTGGTACTCTAGCCGTGACTTCCTCAACCGGTGAGTTCTTCTACTTTCTTCACACACACTACGTGTCAAAACACATGCACACACACACGTACAGTAGGTGGAGTAGTAAACACACGACGAGGGCGGGTCTGATGTGGAATCCCTGTGAAACCATCCAGGATCAGTGGGTAAAAAACCTGCTGGAAATGATGTATAATTACGTAATATCTGTAAGAATCGTTAGCGGTTTTTTATTCCGATAATGGAAAACCCAATAACGCTATGCCTCGATTTTGCCAAATGATGTGTGACCTAAAAATAGTTTGGGGGAAAAACGCCTGTATACGAAAGTGAAAGTCACTAGATGGCAGTATTGCATCTCATTTTAAAGATCATTTGATTGTATGCAGAATGTTGGTGACAGCAACTCATACAGTGGTTTGTACAGATAAATAAATAAATATTACCAGGGTTTCAATTTTTGGGGGGGCTGGAAAACTTCTGTCCTCTAGGGGGGGCATGGCAGCAAACAATTGAGAAACGCTTCTTTAACCCATCACCTTAGTGAGCAGACGGCGCTTAACTTCCTCAACCACTAGGTCAACACTGCCCGTCTATATTGGTATCAGTTGATATCGGAATCGGAAATTAAGTGGACAATATTGGATATCGGCAAAAAGTCGGCAAAAATCCCTAGTGTTGACAGCTGTCGGAGATAGACAGGCATCTTATTTCTATCGCATGCTTCCAATATGAAGTTGAAATATGTGCTGAGGATTCTCTGTTTTGCACAAAAGCACCTGGGAAATACTTCAAGTGAAGTATAAATAGTCCGACTCATCCCTGCTGTCTCCTGTGGACGTCACTACTTCCTGGTGTGTGACCAACAATTGCCAACCGCCTACAAAACACCATCACATCCTGGAGAATCTTTAGAAATGTCACAGTCGTGACAAATCCTGATTTTTTTTTTTTTTTTCTGCGCGTCACGTCTATAAATACCTGCACTTCCTGCTTCTCTCCAAGTGTGATGACATCAGAGGACCGGCCGTCCGTGGACGGAGGACGGGTCTCCTCTGCTGTCCGATGAGGGGCCTGAGGAGGTGTGTTTCCCCACATTAGCAACGTGGTCAATGACTCAGGCCTTGCACAATACTCCTCACCCCAGTACCCCCCCACCCCCCCACCCCTCCCTCCGCTCCATCAGGTCTATTCTGAGCGCCTCCCTCCAGCGCTTTCTGCACGCTCCATCACAACGCGTTTAGGATTTGAATGGTGATGCTGTGGTAAATCCTGGAGGAAAACAGAAGACTAACCTCTGAGACGTCAATCAGAGATTCACCGATCCATCGATTGGGTCTGATTGGTTGACAGGTCATGTGGTAGATGAGAAGAGACATCGTCTGTCAGGTGACAAAGCAGAGATGATTTAGTCGGAAAAAAAAAAAATTGCCATTAAGGAAATATCAATTAGCTTCTGAATACAGAAAGTCCCAAAAAATACGAACTAGTTACGATCCATTTGGTGGTTCGTTAGTTCATAATATTCGTAAAGCTTTAGACCAGTGGTCTCCAACCGTTACTGCGGACCAGTATTAATATAAATTTTCAAAATAAACCATCTTTTAGACTTTCTTCTGTCAGTATCAGAGTCTGAATGACCTTTGACCTGTTGTTATGAAACACTGACAGATTATCTTTGAATGAAAACATTAAAGGGATATGACTGGATTATTTTGGTATAAAGTAAATTAGTAAAAACTGAAGTACATTTTTATCACTGTGGCCCAGTACCCAATGACCTACGGACCAGCACTGGTCCCCGGACCAGGGGTTTTTGGTGAAATTTTTTTTTCTCAATGGCAGAGCAAAAAATAATGTGGTGCAACAGTTTCACGTCCAAGTTTTGGGAAAAAAAAAAATTGTTGGGTTTTGTCAGCAGAACATATCTACACACGTGTGCAAAGTTACAAAACACCTGCAAAACAAAAAAACCAAACAAAAAAAAATAAAAACGTCCCCAGCGCCTCCTTCACCAAACGTCTAATTTCACAAGGACACTGAGACACAAAGATTTATGGACGACAGAAGGAGGAGAACACAAAAAAATGTCAGCAATCAGGCGACTGGAAAAACTACCCAGAGACAGTTTCATACCCTGAAATTGCAGGGTGAGGCCCCGCTGAGGTAAATGGAGTATTTTGAGAATTGGGAACAAGTTTCTCGTCTGCCTGTTCTGCTGCGGCTGCTGTTTTAAATCTATTATCAGAGCAGTGACTTGACACCGAGAAAATCAATGATCTGTGGAGTTCAGGCCTCGTCACAGCGAGTCGTCAACTTGATCTGGATAATGAGTGATTACATAAAAAAAAAAAATCAGTCAGTCGTTTAAACATAAACATGCTCTTGTCTGTTGGACCTCACAGGTCTGTCACCTATCACCATGTTGACGTGCACTCCCTCTGCTGTGTTTCCACAGGTACAGCGCGCCACATCTACGCTCATGGACCTTCTCACAAGCAGTAAGTGACAGCTGGGTGTTAGCAGTGAGCTAATGTGTGTGTTAGCATCTGCACACAGTGCAATGTGAGGAATGCCTCCGCGCGCCTCAGATTTGGCAGATGGAGCCGTATTTAAAAGCCACAGTTGCCGAGTCATTACATCTCACATCAAGTATGAGAGCATCTGCATTTTGATTTTCTTTTTTCTTTTTTTTTTTTTGTCCTGAAAACCATGACTATTACTGTTACCACCACCAGGGGCTCCGGTGTCTGGGTCAGATAGAAGCATGGGTCAGTGGGCTGCACCGCAGTCTGTACCATAACAAGGTTAAAAGACTAATAATTTAATGAAATTGTTCTAAACGGTTTCCAAAACACAGGGTCGGGGACCAATATCAGGCCACACAGAAAGCAAAACTGCGTTTATTTTTAAATATTTATTTAAATAGTGGCGCTTTGGCCCAGAGGCAATGTCTCTGTCATTGGTGTGGAACCCCAGGGTTCACCTCCTGGGCAAGTTCAAATCCCGGTTAGGGCGGTTGGTACCTTCCAGTGGACTCACCACCCGCAGGAAGGTTTGGTATGGTGCAATGTGATTTGGGTGGCGACTGCTGCCCCCGCGACCCGGTAACGGATAAGCGGATGAAAATGGATGGATGGACGGATGGATTTATTTAAATATTTATTTATATTGGTCTCCATGGCGTATTTTCAAATTCCTTCAGTTCACTTACGTTTTCTTGTAAGCCGATGGTCTGAATCATGTGATTTTTTTTTCAGCCTAGACTGGAAACGTGTGATCAGGGTTTTTTTTTTATATAAGATGCTGACAGAATGATTCTTGCCGGTTAACAGAAACAGGAAGTGGAATGTGTGGAGTGAGGAAGTGTTTCGACACCACCCGTCAGGGTCAACAGTGGCGGCAGAGATGAGGGTGCTGAGACCGGGTCACCGCAGCCTTAGGCTAGCACTGAGGGGGGGGAGTGGGGGGGGGGGGGGGGTGGAGTAGTTCCAACTCTGGAACGTTCTGGATTACTGTGTAATGCAGTTGTTCCCAACCACTAGTGTACCGTGACAGATCATCAGGTGTGGTGTGGAAAATTATCCAATTTCATTTAATTGGTCTAAAAAAATTAATTGATCATTAGCCCTGATAGCTCGGTTGGTAGCGCAGCAGTCTTTTAAACTCAGAGTCCAGGGTTCAAGTCCAACTATTTTGCGATTCCGTGTATAGTAGCGGCGCAGCGGTTAGCACGCCTGTCTCAGAAGCAGAGAGCAAGGGGCAGCGTGTTGCGGCAGATCTGCTGTTAACGCAAGAATTTCCCCAAGTGTGCGATCAATAAAGTTGAAATTATTGAAATACTTTTGCTACGATTACAAAAGGGGGCAACAGAGAGCTGTACAAACTAAAAAAAAGAAGGAGAACGTGAGCTGTTGAGGAACATTTTTCTGTTTTTCTGTCTTTCCTCAATTCCTGTGGAGGCATCAGTGTGGTGTTCAACTAAACAGGCCCAGGTTTCACACAAGGAAATCGAACTTATAAGGTCTGGTAGTGGTGCAAATTTTCAGATGTAAAATATGAGATGTGGCTCAAAATACTGTAGGTTGGTTGGGAGAAATTTGTTTATAAAACAAAAAAACGATTTTGTCTTTTTCTTCCGGAGTAGCTGTTGAGAGACGTTAGAGACCAGACAACCAGCTGAGCTCTAAATTGTTTTGCTGCCAGGTAGTAAATGCTAACACGCCAACACAATTACGATAATTACACGAAGATTAAAGTTGTTAGAACTACAGCTTCACACATTAGCTACATGGCGGTTCCTGCCATCGGTTCTCCTTGAAATCACATTAAAGCACGCAGCACCATTCCACCAGGGCAGACGTACAGTAAGAGCGGGACGACCGCAGGAGCCACCGTGCTGTCTATACATAAACACGATCCGACTGAGTACCGCGCATTAATGTCAGTGCCTCGCTGACACAAACCACACTTCACCTCCACATGGGTCAGATGGATTTAGAACGCAGTCCAACGTGACAAGTCAACAAATCATGTAGTACAGATTTATGGTCCGGGGGAAACGTGTTGTTGCAGGAAACGGAAGAGCCTTGACCTCGCTGTCATCGTTGATACTGGACAGAAGAGGAAAAATGGCCGCACGCAACGGTTTATTGCATTTGGTCTTTGGCAGATTTCTCTTTCCTTTGAATTATAAAGTCATTGGTCTGCAGCCTGCCTGGGTCCGACACGTGCTCTATTGGTTATCCAACAGTCCACAAGAGGGCGGTATTACTTTGATGTAGATCAGGGGTTTCAAACTCAGTTTTGTTTCTCGCGCCGCATACAACCTCATGAGGTGTCCAGTTGGTCGGACCAGTACAATTATAACTTAATTAACTATAAATAAGAATAAGTCCATGTTTTTCCTCTTTGGTTTTTATGCTAAGAAATACAAGTGTATATTAGATATGTATTAGTATTTATTCATTCATATTTAATGAAATATCTTGAACGTGAAGGGTATGTGTGTATTTTATTTTTTATTATTTAATGAAATATCTTGAACGTGAAGGTATGTGTATTTTTTATATTTTATTCAAAATTCATGAAGCGGGCCGGATTGATCGCCCTAGTGGGCCAGTTTCAGCCCGCGGGCCTTATGTTTGACACCCCTGCTGTAGATTTATTTGGAAACACACAACCAAACCTGGTCCAATACCAGTACGATGCTTCTCAGTTGATGGTTCCATAGTGTAGCGGTTAGCATGCCCGTCTCAGAAGCAGAGAGTGGAGAGTCCTGGGTTCAATTCCCAGAGGAACCATATACTACACAAAATTTCCCATATATGGAATCAATGAAGTTAAAATTTATAATTATTACTAATTAAAGCTGAGGAAGTCGTACCTGCAACCCAGGTCAAACACTTGTTTCAACCATGTTTCCACCAGCCTCACGTGACAAGACTGACCTCGAGTATCGTTAACCGTCGTAAAGACGCCACAACTTTTACTTTCCTACATTTTCACCAAACTAACTCTTCAACCAACCATTAACGTGGCTCTGGTACAACTAGTATTTAGTGGCACTACTTGATGACGTGTAGACTTCACGTAGACCAAAGACCTAATCTGGATTGATAATCTGAGCCGCTCCATTCACAATCCTGATTTCATCTCCAGCCCTCACGGCCACCACTTCCCCCTTTTACACCGTGTGAGATTCCCCAGCTAGATAATAGCCACTCTGTTTGGCTCTCTGCTACACACACACACACACGACAGTCTCTGGGGGGGAGGGGGCGGGGGGCGGGGGGGGGACATTAGCTAAGTACCATGACAATTCCCAGCATGGATCATGATGGGAGATTGAGCACGACAATGGTGTGACCAATCTGCATTCCAGTGAATCCTCCAGGCCCTCCACGCCAGTCGTAGAGATGACCTCAGCTACGGCTAGCTTCGCTGCAGTCGCCGCGCGGACGTAGAACGACTTCTTAAACTTAAACATCCAGAAAGAGACGTTTTGAGTTTTGAAAAGGTTCAATCTGATGAAAGTTTGAAGAGAGACAGTTACTGGATATGGGTGAGAAAGACAAAATGGGAGGAAACCGTGGGGTGAGAGTGTGAGAGACGTAGAGGAAGGAGGGGTCTCATCCATTCTCTGTGGTATAATAGTGAGTGAGAGTGGGAGTGGGAGTGGGAGCAGAGAGAGTTGGCCCCCCGCTCTGTTTACAGCAGAATTCAAATACAGACTATAAGAACCACAGACTGGGGGGATGTGGCTGCTGGTTTACCACCCTCAGAGCACAGACCCAGGCCGGAACATCGGAGGCTCGGCTCTGCTCTGTTTCAGCCACAGAGCTACTGTCGTGTCTGCCAGACCGAGACGGTAAAAGACATCAATAACCAGAGCAGCACTCAGCCAAGAGGCTTCTGTAACATGAGACTCACACAGTGTTCAGCAAATTAAAAAGAAAAAACTAAATTATTTTTACCCCCCAAAAAAATATTTTTCTCCTCAGCATCTTCACCAAATACTTTTCATACAAACGTAAAATAAATTAAGAATTTGTGAATTAACTGTTAATATATATATACATATACATACCATTATCATATAGTGATATATATAGTCATATATATTTATATATATATGACTATATATATATGACTATATATGACTATATATATGACTATATATACAGTATATGACTATATATGACTATATATGACTGTATATATGTAGTCATATATAGTCATATATATTTATATATATATATATATATATGACTATATATGACTATATATATACATATAGTCATATATATGTCATATATAGTCATATATATAGTCATATACTGTATATATAGTCATATATAGTCATATATATAGTCATATATAGTCATATATATATAGTCATATATAGTCATATATATAGTCATATATAGTCATATACTGTATATATAGTCATATATACATATATACAGTATTGGGCTGCAACCTAGGGAAATATGACGCACTCTTAAAATCATGATGTCAGAGCAAAACTAAAGCAGGGTGTGTCAAACATACGGCCCGCAGGCCAAAAAAACGGCCCGTTATGGGGTTCATTTGGGCCCGCTTGACGAATTTCGAAATAAAAAAAAAATACACACACTTCACGTTGGTGCTGTTTTGTCAAATTATATTTAATTAAATATGAATATTTTCTAATATACTTGTACTTATATGCAGAAAAACAAAGGGGGGGAAACGTGGACTTATTGTTATTTATAGATAATTATTTTATGATTGTACTGGTCCGGCCCACTTGACATCTAATCAGGCTGTATGTGGGCCCCTGAACCTGAGTGAATATTTGACACAACCTGATCTAAAGGGACCAACAATCATTACATTACAAAGCTGTAGGAACTGGGAATTCTCCAAGACTTTCAAATGAAGAAGAAACATGAGGAGTTACAAAATGAAGCTGTCGACAAGAAGAAAAAAAACTTCTGGGGAAACAAAAGGGACCAAGTGCATCCCCTAGAGGGCCAAAGTGGGTTTTATTGACTGGCCTACACAAGCCGTGACTTAAATCCCATAAAAAGGTTGAGCTGAAGTCCAGGGTCAATGCCAGATGATTTCCAAAGATTAAGGGGCGTGACAAATCTGTTAAAGAAGAAGGGGCTGGAAGACCTCAGGAGACTTAGTGTAGAATGAATGAAGTCGCGTTTCTATTGGTATGATTGAGTTGCAACGTTCAGAAAAGTTAGTAGAATAAGGATAAAACGTTGAAAAGAGAGTTAAAATAATTAAAAAAAATTAATATATTTTCCTGAATGAAAGAACTGTAAGGAAGAAGCAGTTGTTTTTAGAATTATCTGATTACGTAAAACAGCTAAACTTGACTAAAACAACTCACTCACAAAATACACATCGACACATCTATGTTTATATATATATATATATATATATATTTCTGTTACGCTTTTGACTGAAACACAATCTCTTTCTCTCCCGGGTTGTTTAGTCTGGCTCCAGCCTTTTATGTGTCAGGTATTGACGCTGACATCTAGCGGTGCTCATTGGTAACTACATATTTAGATTTTATTTTATATTATTTATTTCGCTTAATATCATTAAAAAAACACACACACATGGACTAAAACAACCGCAAACACAGTTTGGAGTTTATGTTTCATGTTTTTGTTTTTGTTTTACTTTTATCCAAAAAGTCATAACGCACGGATCAGTTCTACGTCCCGCTGCGGTTCTGGTGGAAGCTCACCTGTAGCTGATGAGCTAGAACTTTCTGCTGCGTTTTTTTGTTGACATGCTAGCCCAGGTTTGGTCGGACTTTGAGCAGAGTTTTCGGGCCAAGCTCCAGACGTTGACGTTATGGTGGAAGGTACAGTGACATGAATGTCGCGACGACACTTCTCTTGATGTTGTAGGTTTTTATTTTTAGTCTAAAATATTGACGTATGCCCGGTTTTTGTGTGTTTTACGACCTCCTAATGTGACGTCATAGCTAACGTCTTCTAAAGTAGTTTTGCCGCTTTCAGCTAATTTAGTAATGTACAACCTTGATTGCAGTAATACTTTAGAAAAACCACACAATTACAGAGTTGCATGAAGATGAATAGGACATTTAAAAAAAACAACAAGATTTCTATCAGGAAACAAGTGTAACTTGTCGAAGTGTTGTTACAAGAAAGTAAAAAAATAACAACAACAAAAATCATGTGATGAAAAAGTCAAAAAACATGGCCTTAAAGGTAGTTTAATGTGAGAGGTAAGAGAATTCATGTGCTAAATAAATTAAAATTTCCGTGTGTGTGTGTGTCCGAGTGCATCACAGACCAGAGGAAAAGAGGGAGAAAAGTAATTGTTGGCACCTCAGCCACTCTCAAAGTTGCCCTTGGCTTTGTGCTCTTCACTGCAACCTGATCTTTTCATTCTCCGCCTCAAAAGAAGCCATTTTCTATTAGCCTCCACTTCCTCTCACTGTTCAAAGGTGTTTGAGTTTGAGTGTGTGTGCGTCGGCGTGTGTGCGAGCGTTCAAGAGCATCTTTCTCAGTGGGAAAAAGAGGCTTTTTCCACCAAAGGAGAGGGCACGGCGGCAATGTCAGCGCCACTGATTAGAACTGGCCACATGAGAGGATGGAAGGAGACAGAGGGGGGAGGGGGGGGGGGGGGGGGGGGGGGGGCGTTGGGGGGAGGGAGTTATTCATTCAGTGAGACGTTTCTGTGAAACCCAGAAAACCAAACGCGTTGCGTCGTCTATGCAGACATAAATGTTTAGTATGTGTTTGTTTTGTAACTTTCCAAAAAAAAAGGAACTTCTCATGTAGAGGAAGTTAGTCAATAATGGCAGCAGAGATTTCTCAATTATTCCTGTCACAGTTCGTGATAAACACAAAAGAAAAACCCTGAAAGAACTCCGTCCGTGTGTTTGTGTCTGTTAAAATTAGCACTTTTTCAGGAGTCGTACGTATGTGGACGACCCCCTGCTATACATGTCACAGATACAAACTGCTGACAGACACTTTTCTTTTTCTTTTTGCTCATAAATTCTGCTCCCTGCCTCACTTTCAATTCACTTTTTTTTTTTTTAGTTTTTAATTTAAGCATCAAAGGAGGAGGAAATACTGACATCACTTCCTCTTGTCTCTGTGAATCAACACTTTTTCTCAACATTTTTCTTTTCTGTGCCACTAGTGTTGTCAACGCACGCATCTGTTAAGTTGGATTTTTTTTTTTGTCTTGTCGTTTCTTCAGGCTGCCTTTCCCATATCTGTGCCGCCCTCCATGGCTGCTGACGACTACAACCCTGTGAGTGTTTCTTCTGCTGCTGTGGGGTTCCAATTTTATTACAATAAAGGGCAAAATGTTTTTTTTAGTTTTTATTGAACATGGAAACCACAACAAAACACTGGCTTTAAGAGGAACAGTCCAACCTTCAGCCTCACCCTCTGCCTTCCTTTCCACAGGTCTCCCTGCGGCACAAGTCCAAGAGGAAGAGTCGAGGAGGTAAGCTGTCACCTCGCCGTCGCTGTTGCTAGTGTAATTTTCGGGCCCTCTGTTGAGGGCGTGTGCGAAGTGGAAGGGCAGTTAGTGTGTGCAGAGGGTGTGTAGGCAACACTCGACTCTGTGAGTTTCCCCTGCGTTAGCGCTGCGCCTCTTTTGCCTTGCGTTCTGCCGAGCAGCAAAGCTTCCTTTGAGTCTCCCTTGCCGTCGTTGGTTCTGTCAGGCAGCAGGTGGTTCTGCTGGAGAACGGCCTTTTTGAACTGAAACACCCAATGGATTTATTCACTTTTGTGTCTTCTCTCTTCTAGGAAATGGAACGATGAGCAGAAGACGGATCTCAGTCAAAGAGCTGGGTCAGCCTGACCACCAGGGCTGGCTGTACAGGAAGAAGGAGAGTAAAGGATTTCTGGGAATTAAATGGAAGAAGTACTGGTTTGTCCTGAAGAAGACTGCGCTCTACTGGTACACCAACCAGCTGGTACGTGTCCTTTAAAAATCACTTTGTTATGAGTATTATTAAAGAAAGTCATTTTGACAACCTGTGTCAAAATAAAATACCTTTTTTTACTTTTATCTTTAATTTGTACAAAACGATTATCTATAAGTGAAGTTATTTTTAGATTTGTTTTTTTTTTACACTGGAACAGTAGTTCCTACATATTTAAAAGAAGAAAAATCATTGCTTGATTGATTTTGAACTTTTATTTTGTAATTTTTTACAATATTGGTTCGTAGGAATAACAGTGTTTTAAATCATTTTGAAGCAATAGCTGCATTTGTGCTGCATGATATCGAGGGGTGGGGGAGGGGGCAGTGCACTGTAACATGGAAAAAAAAGACAATCTAAAACTTAACCTGAACAAAGACGTCGCATCTCAGTCTGTTGTTTTGACTCACACTTGTTTTTGTGTGTACTATAAACCAGCCACCAACTCAAATCACATTATCATCACAGTGGAACCAATGGTTCCACTGTCACCACACGATATTCTATCAGCGGTGCTTGTGTCTAATATTGACTTAAAGTTACCGGCAGGATGACTCAAGTGTTGTGTACTGTATGTAGCGCGACGCGCTAGGAGGAACTTGAAGCGGTAGCTGATGGTTCATCACCAGTAGGTGTCATTGGCAGGAAGTGGTGAGATATAGCTGAAATCTTTTTTTTTTTTGGCCACACTCATTCTTGTTCAATCCGTGTGTTACAGGCAGAGAAGGCCGAGGGTTACATCGACCTCAGCAACTTCATGATCGACAGAGCCATCGAGTGCAAGAAGAAACAGTGAGTTCAGGGCTTCCTGTGTTAACGCCGTGTCGTTTTCATGGGTCACTTCACGTAGCCTCCTTACATCACTCTCATCAATAGATCGGCTTCATTTGTTTACTATTGTATTTCAACAAGAACAAAAGATGATTTTGACAACAAAAAAAAATAAACAAACACTTTTTATGTTCTTAACTAGTATCTGCTCTGTTTACTTTACTACGTTATAGATTATATGAAATAATTTTTAAAAAAATATTTGATTTAACAAACAGTCGATGCACACGTTATCTGCACACATTGTTGGAAAATGTTTTAATTTCACTGAAGAACATCTTGACTCCCAGAATAAGTTTGTGGAGGTTTCAGTTTCAGGACTCATGTCTCACACCTACAGTTCTTCTTATTGCTCTTATTGTTTTTCTTCTCACTCTTCTTTGCACTCTTCTTCTCACTAATTTTTTCTAATTTTTTTCTCATTTTTCTTCTCACTCCTCTTCACACTCCTCTTCACCTTCTGATTCTTCTTCTCACTCTTGTCACTCTTCTTCTCCTCCCTCTTCTTTTATCTGACTCTTCTCACTCTTCTTCTCACTCCTCATCTTTTTTCTCACTTTTCTTCTAACTCCTCTTCTTACTTTTGTTGTCGCCTTCTGATTCTTCTTCTCACTCTTCCTCTCACTCTTCCTCCTGCAGTGCGTTCAAAGCCTGCCACCCACACGTCATGATGTTCTACTTTGCTGCCGAGTCCCACGAGGAGATGAACCTGTAAGTTGCCCGACCTGGACTCTCTTTTTTTTTTTTTTTTTTTTTTTTTTTTAATTTGTCTCCATTTCATCAGTTCCCTGATGTATAAATATACATTCTCCTCAGGTGGTTGAATAAACTGGGATTAGCCTCTATCCATTATAAGCCAGCTCAACAAAACACTGCAGCAGGTGAGGACAACATATTCAAGTTGTCATTAAAAAGTTTTTTTTTTTAATTTTTATTATTGTCTACTTTGGTTTCAAACCAACAACACTGGAGAAACTTCTTGGACTTCAGTCGATAAAATCCAAAAATACGCAGTGACGATGATTCCTGAGGCAACAGTCACTGATTCATCTGTCGTCCACGTTTGTGATTTTTTTTTTTTTAGAATGTTACAGTGAAGCCAGTGACCATGAGGAGACCGAGAGCACGGAGATCCCGCCTCCACCCTACTCTGAACAGAGCCTGCGGAGCTCAGTGGAAACATCTGTGACTCCCGGCAGCACAAATCAGGTCTGGTTCATCTGTGTGACCTCAAAACAAAACAAAAATATTTACATATATATTATTATTTTTCACTGACTGTGGAGTGTTTTTCTTTTTTTTTTTCCAGGGCACTCTTCCTCCTCCCTATTCCTCTACAGCGCCCAGTGAAGCAAACGGTTCCCTGTCATCACCAGTCAGTACCATGACGTCACAGAGCTCCTCCTCTTCTCTGGCCAAGCAGCGGCAGTCGTGGCTCGACCTGGTCTCACGAGCTTCGCCCTCTGCTGGGGAAACAGCTGTGGTGTGTTCAGTTCAAATACACTCACATCAGCCTCCTCCAGAGGAGCAGGAGCAGGAGGAGGAGGAGGAGGTGGTGAGGGAGGAATCTTCAGTCTTGGAGAGTTCTGGACCCCAGGACTCAGGAGGGACTGGGTCTAATGAGAGGAGCGCTGTGGCAGTCGGGGAGACACCTAGTGGTGGTTCAGGGTCTCAAAGTGAAGGTGAGAAAAAAATTTAAATATGAATCTTTGATGATTCTGTAGAAACTCTTCGGATGTTCCTACAAATATTTTCAGACTTTTATTCTTTGAACTGAAGTTGGTCTAAACTTTTTGTAATAATGAATGTTAGAAAATATTGATACACTGAAATATTGCAATATTTCTTTTCACAATATGGTATCGATATTCTTCAGCATTGTTTAGATTTTTTTTTTATAACAATTAACATGCAGATATTCATGGCGTTGGTTCATTTTTGTGTTGCATTTAAACCTCCGACCACTAGTTGATCGTACAGAGACTGAATATATTTGCAAATATTTGAGTCAAATAATTTTATTGTTTTCATGTGTTTATCCAGAATATCCTTCAAAGAATTGTCTTCCTTCTCTAGTGATTCCAAATGTAGATCCCTCTGTTCCAAAGTCATGCAGAGTATAATGTGATATCAAATGTAGATCCCTCTGTTCCAATGTCGTGCAGAGTATATCGCGATATATATCGTATCGTTGCCCCTGTATCGTGATGTGTATCGTATCGCCAGATTCTTGCCAGTACACAGCCCTAGTAAATACGAGGGTAAATCTAACAACCTCAATACAGCGGGTTTTAATTTCAACCATGTTACGACAACAGTTTCACGTTGTCTTCATACAGATGATATAAAGTCAAAGTTTTTTATAGTCGGAGAATCCAGGTCTGCCTTAGGAGTGTCACATGATGTCACTTTTTTAATAATCGTAATAAAAACACGTCACAGTGACATCCCTTTCTGAGAAAGATGGGAGCTCAGCGTCGAAATGTTTTTTTTAATGAGTTCTGTTTTTTTGAGTTTGTGATAATGACGCAGTGTAATCTGGTTCCATAGACCCTGGAAGCTGCTCAGATGAGATGGAGATGCTGTACATCCATCTGAAAGCGGCCAGTCTGTCGCCCATCGGAGATCGAAAACCCTCCACCAAAAGAGAATTCCGAGCCTCTTTTGTAAAACGCTGTAAAAACCATGCTGTCAATGACAAACTCCACCTTATACGGACACTCAATAGCACATTAAAGGTACATTTCTAATTTTTTTTTTTCTTACCTTAAAAACCATTCTAATGTCATATAAATTGTTAGGAAATCTTCACCACATTCATTGCCATCTTCTGCTGTTCTCCAGTCAAAGGAAGCGGACCTTCAGGCCATTGAGCAGGTGCTGTCGGAACAGGAGCTAACGTCACACAAGTTCAAGGAGTGGAAGGAGGCCAATGCACCTTTGGTGCAAGAGATCTGTGTGAAGCAGGTCCAGCAGGGGGCGCAAGAGGACAAACGAGCTGCAGCATCAGTCAGTGCTGCTCCAGTGGTGGAGACTAGTTTATGAAGTTTTTTTTAATTTATTTTTTTAATCAGCACACACACACACACACACACACACACCTGTACTGATGTTTATTTTTGCTGAAACTACTGTCCCTCGTCAGTGAGCTGCTGTTCTACCACACAGCATGGAACTGGATCAATGAAGAATTGTGTTTCTAGAGCCTTAAACGGAGATGTTTTATTGATTACAGGTCACATTTTAAGGTGACGTGACGTTTAGTATTATGTCAATAGCAAATGTCGCTGTTGTTTTTACAGCGTTTTTTTTTTTTTTTGCGTACTCCGGTTTTTATTATTTTGAATGATGGAGGTCGTTGGAATAATGAATCCATTGTTCACTGCATTAAAAAACACTGTTGTTGTTTTGTTTTTAGTTTTTATTTCAGTGGTGAACACATTTTTAAATCTGTTTTTATGTCTCTTTACTGGTGCCATGCACCGTCACTGCATGTTACACTTTTGACAGAAACTGTTGTGAATAAATGGTTCTTTGTTGACTTTGGTTTTATTTACAGACTGCACATCTTTATCTTTGACAGGCAAACTGATATGTTCAAGATAAGTTCGGACCGACTGTTGGGGAACAGTTTTACAAACCTACAGTACTGCAGTCTGGGTGCAGACAAGCTGCACACAACAATGTATTTTTCTAAATAACTTTCATCAGATGTGCATGTTAAGTATTAACTACTGTTTATGTAAATACAACATGAATGTTTGATGTTCATTTTCTTGGAGGTTTTAACTGTAATAAATGCTTGTTTGTATACAGGAATTAAAAAAAAAATTCTCAAGAGAATTGTGTTTGTGTTTCTTTACAGTAGCTGTATTTTAAAGAGTCAGAATGTTTTTGTTGCAGATTGTTTTAGTGAAAAGGGTTCAATAAACAGTTACTTTTAACATCTCATGTTGCCCAGCAGAGTACAATGACTTTATTAAATTCACAAGTATGGTTGTTTTTTTTCTCTTTTTATTCCTTTCATTTGTTGAATTTTAAAATTTAGACATTCTGGTGGAAAGCACCACAGAACGTCAAGGAGAATTCTGATACTATTGTATTTCCTTTTAACACTCAGGTATTAGGAAACATATATATTATATTACACTTTCTCATCGCATTTATTTAATAAAATAAATATTGTTTTTCAAAAACAAACGTTTTACGGTTCTTTGATCCTGCAGGGCTATGGCATGTTTCAATATCAGACCCAATTACAGTGTCCTGACTTTGACGCTGGGTGTCGCCCGTTCCTACGCAGATGCCTCGCAGTGGTTCTGCGCCATATTGGCAGTCTCTCCTCCATCTCAGCAGACGTCGAGCATGCACGCCTCAAACCGGTTACTAATGAGATATTTCTGATTGCAGCCACCAGCCAGTCCTAGGGCACCACCATGGAGGCCGTAAAAGCCTTCAATAATGAGGTTTGTTTCAAAGTTAAAAAGTTGAAGTAAAGCGGTTACAGTCGATTGAGATATGTACCTGTTCGCGTTAGCTTTATTTAAGAGTAGGGCGATGAAGGCCGCCGTCTGTACACATCAAATCAGCCATGTTGTCCACAATTTGGTCGGTGGTCTAAACAGTAATCAAAGGCCAGTCCCCAATTCCGGCGAAACTCTGTTTTCCCGTAGTGCCGGCGTCTTGTTGCTGTTTTCACAATAAATATTGTGGTGCGGTATCCAGCTAAGCCCAACAAGCTAACTCCAAGTTAGCAAAACCGCCCTTAGAGTTAGTAGCACAGTAGGCTACATCGTACGTTTGTAGACATAAAAGAAAACACTCCTATGTTTTCCACTGACAGACCTGCTACATCGTACGTTTGTAGACATAAAAAAAATGTTTTCCACTGACAGACCTTTTTTTGGTCCAGTGTAATATATGCCATTAATCATATTAAAGTGTATTTCAGACGTATGTTAATGTTCGGGAATAGATATCGTTGTAGCTTAGCATTATGACTCCCCAACCGCTAACGTTCTCCTAAAGCGCAGCCATTATTCGTCTGCAGTGGACAGGAGTTTGGACATAAATCACATGCTGTGCTATTATTAAAGAACATGTATAAATATATGATGTATTTATTTCAACGTGTAATGCAGTGTTTATTACACAGTACCCACGCCTTACTGGTTAATAATATAGGTATCGTATCAGTATCGGAGGTTTGCGCATTATTCCTTTCCATCACTAACTTTCGTGTTCTTTATTAATCTTTCGAAAAACGGCGATGTGCACAGAACCTGATAGTGTCTGATAAAAACAGAAAACTACAGTCAATAGTCTACAGTACTGGTTTTACAACGATGTCCTCTCTTGTCTTGTGTTTTTCTTTTATAGCTGTACTCATTGAATGAGTACAAGCCGCCGATCTCCAAGGCCAAAATGACTCAGATAACCAAGTCTGGAATCAAGGCTATTAAAGTAAGTATGGGAAGAATGAGGCAGGTAAAAGACATAACAACCGAGTTTCCCAGTTTCCTACTACACAAAATAAATTTTAAAAAAAACAAACTAAATATCAAATTAATGGGATGTAGTAGTCAGGATTTACTTCTAAAGTAGTATTAAAACTCTAAATGCTGCTTCGCCTTCGTGATGTACCGTATTTTTTCCAGATTATTTTTTCCATCCTTTGGCTGGGTTTGTGACTGATACTCGGGTGCGACTTATATATTAAAATATATAATATCACGTTTGTTATTTTCACACTGACAGCCGCTAGAGGGCACTCCAGCTGGCTGGTGCGACTTGTACTCCCTAACGACTTATATTCCGGAAAATACGGTACTAGCTTTGTCAGAAGTTGTTTGAATATCTTACGTCAGTGATTTCGTCAACGTACAGTACTTTCAAACTGGTATTAGGATAGTGGTGATTTGACACAAAAATGTTGTTACAAAAAAAAGACACTTTTTTTTGGCGCGGTAAAGTAGCAGCAGTGTTTCAATTAAATGTTACAAGTTTTCTTCTCAAAATTTGACCAAAAACTGGACAGTTCAGAGGAATGCTTCTGGGGTTTGGCCTCACTGTGAAGGCTACAAAAATCAACAGTACACACAGCCTAATACATTTTCTGTCTGCTGAGTAGGGATCTATGGCTGACACATGATAATGTCAGAGTTAATACTGAATATTATTGGTATTTGTAGTGATGACATGCTTCTGTAGAATTAAATTTGAAATTTATGTTGCAGTTTCATGTCAGGAAAAACACAAGGAAAACCAATCGGTGTATTACGAGTATCCGTCCTGTTAAAAATAGTGTACAGGATTTTGTCTTTAATACATCGTGGTTTCAAAAAGGACCTGAAACTCTTTTGGTCCATGTCAGGTCACCATTCTCTTTTCAGTCTTGTCGGCTAGCACGCAGCAGAGGGGAAAGTGAAATTACGCTGTTGTGTCAGAGTCCAAACTTCAACCCCTGAGTGGGTTGACAGTTACTACATGAATTATCGCTGCAAATGTAGTCAGAGTTGGTGAAATTGGCGTAAAGTAAAAAAAAAAAAAAAAAAAATTAGTTGCAGCTTTATGTCCAATGTCATCAGTTTGCATTCTAGGTGTAGTGTGTGTTCATGAGGATGACCATTTTTACACCATACTAAATATTTCAGATTTTTCGTAAAATTCCGATTCTTCGGAAAACTAGTTTGTTGAAACAAGTGAAACCATACATACTGTACTGCTGGTTCTATAGTGTAGCGGTTGGCATGTCTGCCTTTGAAGCAGAGAGTTCTGGGTTTGACGGAGCACATACTTGGCGCCTCCAGGGGGCGATGAAGTGCAGCAGATCTACTGTAAACGCTAGAATTTCCTCGCTGTGAGATCAATAAAGGTTATAAAAATGCGTTTAAAAAAACAATTATTTGTACGGCCTTTTTATAACATTTTACAGAAGTAGAATAATTCTGTCGCAAAGACATCAAATCTCATCCTGTTCAAAGGCTGTTATTATTTTGTATTTAATTTTCTTTTTTTCTTCTTTTTTTTGGTGTTGCTATGCCTCGTACCACCTGTGAATAACACCTCTTTCCCCTTCCCTCAGCAGCTCTCCCAGCTCCCCCAATGCACTGAAAATGAAGCAGGAGGATGGGGTGGAGAGAGTTACAAAGAGATAAGAGAATCCCTTACCAGCTTAGGTAGGAGTATGGGTTGTTTCACTAGGAAGATGGAAGAAGACTTGAGTTTTATCTTTAATTTGCTCCCACACAGCCAGAGATGCCTCACATCTTCTGTTGCCTGTGTGGACACCCTCTCTGGCTGTCCTGTGCTGCTGTCACTGTTGGTGGTTTACCTGCCTGGTGCATCCTGGCATTTGGGGTTTTTGTCTGCTTCACAGGGAAGATGTTTTTTTTTTTTCAGAATTCCATTGGATATTTACACACATACAACATGTTATTAACCACGTCACAGCTTGAGAATGACACAGATTGGTTTGGTGAAAGGAAGATTGTTGGTTGTTTTGGTGATTTTCATTCACACATTGTTTGCAGTCATATCTATGGGGTTTGAGACAAACGACGCAATTTGTATCACCAACTGGTGAAGCTTTGGTTCGTTGGTAGTTTTCATAATCTGCCTTTTGCAACTTGCAGTACACTTCATAGCATAGCATAAAGTGTACTGCGATGTAGTACGGTTGTCACAGTACTCGATACCAATACCAGTGATTTATTTTTACGATTCTTGATACTTATCCGATACCATGACAGGTATATAACAGGAACCTGTTTCAAACTATAGTATTTAAGATCACTGTGCTTCAACATGTTTTTGCACAAAACTTAAATTGCAGGACCAGCTGTCAACAGCTAACTTTACATTCCAGAAAAGAGCAGCAGTGACCTGTAGCCTTCCAGTGTAGTTAAAACACTGCGATCATATATATCAGCAGTCACCAACCGTTTTTGTACCGAGGAGCGGTCGGCCTTTATCAGCCATTACTGTGGATCTTTAATACTGCACCATCGTTAAAGGACCAATACGTTTTCGAGAACGACCTTTAGACTTCTTTCTGATAGTATCAGAGTCTAAGGTATATGTTCAGATAACATAAGGTCAGAGACTGTCACGTTACATGACAGCATTAGCTTAACCACCTGTTAAAGTAAAGGAGCGACCACATCAGTATTAGAAGCCTGCACTTCTAGAAACTGATAGAGCTGGCTCCCAAGCCCAAATAACGGCATGTATATTTGGCTTTAATATAACATGATTTAAGTGATAATAAAGTGAAACTCACCTTGAATTATTTTTTATCAACTCGTGATGCCTGGTTTTCAGCCAGATTCAACGTGTTTCCTCATTTGGTTTGTAAACTTGGGAGGCACCGTTTGCATGTCGGTTTTGTGGATTTATTATTGCTTCGCATTCATCAAATGCAAAGCATCTCCTCATGCGACCACTACCTGGCTTATCGTTAAGCCGAGATGTGTTTTTTTAACCACACTTGCTGAAGACGTTTTTTTTTTTTTTTAAAGACAGCAGACGTTCTTCTTCTGAATGTAATGATGGTACCAGAAAAAAGCAGATTTATTATTTTTTTGTGTGTCGCCATCAACTTGGTACTGAGGTATCGGTTCTTGTGACAACCCTACTATGTAGTTTTTTGTATATTTTTAGGGATGCAAGGTATATATTGTTGACAACCATTTCTGATGATTAATTATCTATGGCTGATATCGATATGACAACTGATGATGTCATATCTTCTATTTATGAAACAATGGCTTCATGATCTTTGTTTGTTGACCTGTCATTAGATGTTTGTCTGACCAGAACAGAAAACAGAACTTAAACTTCCCTTTTTATGAAACTTTGCCTTGTTTGTGTGGACCACGGTCAGAGCAGTAGAAATGAATCCGTTGGTTTCTTTTTTGCCTGTTGTGAGATTCAATTTCAAGTTGAAATTCTAGTCTAGTTTTCATCTGGCAACGATTGGCGGTGATTGTGAACCAGAAACTCAGTTATGGAATTGAAATCATTCGCTATAACAATTAGCCGTTACTATAGCTGGTGATGTTGCAGACACAGGTAGCTCATTTAGCTTTAGTCATTTCCCAGTGTCCGAAGAGTTGCAAGGAGACTAGCTGAGTGACTTTGGAATAAGACCAGTCCACGTCAGACACCCTGGAGGAGGTTTTTAGTATTTACACAAAAACATTGGCCTGAGCTGTTTGTTTTTGGGCAAATGCTGTTTTTGCAGTTTGTGTAGTTTCAGTTTTTTATACCAGGTTCAACCACTGGGAGTAAATAACATGGAAAATAGAGACGTTTCTTCACTTCACTTTTTTTGTTTGTTTTGTTTGTTCAAATTCAGGAGGGTTGAAGAGTTCTGTTAGGCAACTGAATGTGAAATTTTCTCACGTCTGATTGCCTAACAGAACTCTTCAACCTTGACCATGACTGACATGTGTAAATTTGGGAGCAAAGATTAAGTGCAAAATTAATAGGGAACATGGAAATCATGCGCCACAATCCATTTTCAGTGCACATGTTGTATCTGCTGCCACACAGAAATGATCAGTTCTTCATGAAAATGTTAAGGTCCAACTTTACAATTTTAATCTGTCAAATAACTTCATTGAAGTTGTTTCTAGATATTTAAAAATGATTTAACCTTTGTTGATAGGTTCTGTGTTATCGGTGTCTTAAATGGTCAGTTTACCTGTTAATCCGCCATGTGGAAATATTCAGTATGGTAGGATCCTACCAGTAGCTGGTAGGATTTCACACATGTGGCCCATGACTGTCACTTGCAACTTACCTGCAACGATCCTGAAAATATGACGAGATAAATTTGGACCTATTTTAACTAAGGATGCACTGATTGACAGCTCGGAGATCGGAATCGTCCCATTTTATAAGCGTGAATGGCTCTGACCGGCAGCTGGGCGGTCAACACACCCCTTCTGTTTTATTGCTGCCGATAACTTTGCACATGTATTGTGTCCATAACAGGAGAGTAACCTCACATGCTCACAAGCTGAAGTTAACATATTGTTGACTTTCAAGTCACTCTTTGATATTTGTAACAGTAAAGCTAACTGTGTACAGCCACCGCTAAAAACATAATCCACCATCCTCAATCCAAACGTGTTCAATATTCTTTCTTCTAGCTGTAGCGTTACCAGAGCTGATGATAGCAGTCAGCTGCGAGCTAATGCTAAAGCTGCAATTAGTTTCACAACTAACATTTGCACGGAGAACGTTGGTTTTATGTCCATGCTTTTATCAATTAGTGGATTGACATCCTGTTGGCAGAACTGTTGGGAACACAGGAACCCATTCTACTGTAGAACTGAAGAGAGAACCTGTGAGGGAGTGCAGCTGGAGTGCGACTCAGGTTCTACCAGAGTCTTTGTGAACTGAGACGACTCTACTTCTACAGTTGTCAGTTAAAATATTAACGACCGAGTAGGTTAACGTTCCAGGATGTCTTCACTGGAGTTTACCTGTGAAAAAGTACCGTAAATGATGCAGTTAACTCGTCATGTATTTACTGCTCACGTTGTTCACAATCAGGAATTACTTTATTGATCTCCTGAGGGGAATTCTTGACGTTAGAAGACACTGTTTGTTGAATGTGGAAAAATTAGGATTATATCCCATTGTACACACAGTATTTGTTTGATATTCTTGGAAATTTCAATTTTCTGTGAAAATGTTTTATTGTAACCAGCAGGAGTGGGTTCCTGTGTCTGTCAGTAGAAGAAGTCTGTTGTTGAACATGGTTCTGTGACTGATCACTAGGTTGTGGAGATGATGAAGATGAAGAGTCCAATATTGTCCTTAGTGTCCTCTCTGACACCAAATCTAGGGAGTCCAACCCCTAATCCTGACCCTGACTGGCCTTCCTGATGAGTTTCTTGAGTCTGTTAGTGTCCTTGGCCCTCAGACTGCTGCCTCAGCAGACCACAGTGTACATGATGGCTCTGACCACCACAGACTCATCACCACACAAACATTGAAAAGAACGTAGATGTCTCAGAAAAGAGAGCTGGCTCTGGTCCTTTTTTTATACATGCATAACATGGTCCACTTGGTTTGATTTATTGTCCAGAAACCCGCTGGGTAATTATGACGCCTCCTCAGGTTTACCGCTACTTCTTTAGTCTTTGTGTGTTATTGGTTATTTCTGCTGGTCTCATTGGATGACAGCAGTCAGTCTCACATAGTTTCATAGTTTGTATTTGTTTTTTTGCAGGGATCAAGTAGTTCACATCTTAGTTTGTAAGTTAGTATATTGGTGGTTGTAGTCTTGGTGGTCTTTGTTCAGGGCTCAGCCTTCTTACCGCTCAGCCGTGCTGCTACTTTATGGCTAAGTAAATACACACGATGATGATGAACATGTCACTGCTCTGGTGTCCTCAGTTCTAACACTGACTAGTGTTCGTTCTGCATTTACAACCAGAACATTGATCTTTTTAGTTGTTCATGGTTGTTGAGAGTTCTGGACGCAGTAAACAAGAGGCAAATGAAAATTTGTTGAGCTGAGTGGACTCTACTGGTAGCTGTTTAGCACAGCTGAGCTTTAGAACAGGGCTGTGAAACTCATTTGATTTCAGGGCCCACGTACAGCCCAGATTAGATGTAAAGTGGGCCGGACCAGTACAATCAAAACATAATTACTGATAAATAACAAAAAGTCAATGTTTTTCCCCTTTGTTTTCCTGCAAATAAGTACATTAGAATATGTTGATATTTAATGAAATATAATTTGACAAAACATCACCAACATGAAGTGTGCATTTTTTTTATTCACTTTCAAAAACTGGCCGGCTTGAACCTGGGCCCTATGTTTGACACCCCTGCTCTAGAACCACAGCGCCCAGTGCCAGAAAATAGCTCCCCTGTTCAACGAAGTTCTTGTTTTCCAACCATATTTTGCCAAGATGTTGCATTTACACAACATTTAAATCACAATTTTCACACCTGAAACCTGTCGAACTCATTCTTGTCGTTATGTTTAATTTGACACTTATTGTTTACATCAGTCACACAGCGCTAAAACTAGGCTATGCTAACATCCTCCAACATGCTTCTTATGCTCATTTTTGCTTTGTATCTTGGTAAGACCTTTTACTGCCACCTGGAGGTTTTTCGTCAGTAAATATTTACATCTAGAAGGTTTAAGGGTGGGCCATGGTAGATGCAGTCTGATGTGAGTGGTATTTGTTTGTTTATTAGTGGTAGTGGCCTAGTGGTTAAGGAAGCATACTGGTGAAGTAATAATTCACTTTTACTTCAAAACACAGAAGAGTTTTTAATTATTTAGTTTTGGGGATTAATTTACTTAATTCTACGGATGCTTTTCCTACTTTGTCCATTTTAAGTTGTTTAATCTCTCAGTGTAGTCTATAACAGGGGTCCCCAACCACAGTGGGACACTGTGAAAAAATATACTTCAGTTTTACTAATGTACTTCGTTCCAAAATACTCCAGTCATATTTACTTTTTATACTTCAGTTTTACTAATGTACTTCAAAATACTCCATATATTTATTCAAAGGTAATCCGTCAATGTTTCAAAACAACAGGTCAAAGGTCATTCAGACTCTAAGATACTAACAGAAGAAAGTCCAAAAAATGGTTTGATTTTGAAAATTTAATGATCCTTCAACGATGGTGTGGTACTGCTGGTCCACAGTAACGGCTGGTACCGGCCGACAGATCCTTGGTACAGTAAAGGTCGAGGACCGCTGGTCTGTAAGGTTCATCTCCAGACTGTGAGAATGTACAGTGTCTCACAGTCTGCTTCATTAGACTAGTTTCATTTTGAAGAGGTAACCTGGTTCCCCCCACAAACCTATGAACCACATCTTTGGACTTTTATGTTGAAACTTTCCCTAATTAAAATATCTCCTACTCAAAGCAACGTGAAATGTAAAGTTTGGTTTTTCTTCCTAAAACGATATGTCAACCAACGCTAAAAAGCTTTTTATTAACAACTACATAGGCAGGGGGGGTTTCTGACATTTCTATATCTGTATATTTTAATATCCACTTGAAGGACCCTGTTGGGTTTGCAGACAAGTTCTTGAATTTGCATCTCAAATGTCAGTGAACAAAGCGTGAACGTGTTCACCTTTAACGTTGTTGTTCAGTGGGAGCTGACACAAGGATTGTTCCATGCAGCGAAAAAAATGTCACGTTCTAGTTTATATTGTTAAACATGCTGTTGAACTCCTGTCAGCAAGTACTACTTTTTACTTTTTGTGAAGATACAGAGTTGTACTTTTATAATAAAGTACTACTTGGTTTGTCACCAGACGTTGAATTTACTGTTAAACCACAGTAACAAAAAGACTTTCATTCGGTCAGGCAATCTTTTTGGTAAACTACAGAAGGCTCGGTACAACTTTTTCATGTCTGATACTGCAACTTAGTATCGTAGTATCTTGGTACCGATGTCAGTGCAATACCTTATTTTCTCCTTTAGCTGCTGATGTTGCAGAAAGTCAAGTTGAGTTATGTTTTTGTTTGTTTTTTTCCTAATGTTGGATTCTGAAATTATCGGAAAGTATCGGATCACGCCATCCCTAATAATAACGCAGATACTAACAGTGTCAGTTTAATAGAACCAAAATTAGGACAAAAACATAGATGGACGATGAGAGAGGATTTGTCAAAATTAAAATCATGGCATAATTATCTCTTAATTGTTTTGTTAATGTTAATTTTGTATTTGTAATTTTTAAAATTTTTTCTGTCTTATTATTATATAAATTAGCAGTTTTGTCTCGTTTCTAACTCTATTTTCCTGATTTATGGTATGTCAGGGTTTCTGTAGTTTTACTCCATTTCATGTTGCCAGTTGTTGAAAAACAAGTATCATTTTTGTAGTTGTTGTATAACCCTGTTGAAACGATCAACAGTTTCTTTTACAATCAACAGTCCATAGTGTTCCTTTTCTTATTGTTTACATATATATGAAAGATTAGCAAATATATAATGTATAAATGCTTATTACTGCAGGGGTGTTGAACAAATCTCCATCAAGTCTTATAATGTTTAATCATTGAAAACCACAGCTGTCTGTTGGATCTAACAATAAAACATCATTTTTTTTAAATTTATTTATTTACTTTGCAACGACCTACCGTGAACCGTCATTCTTATCTGTGGCTGGTTGGGGTTCACCTTGTAAAAATAATAAGATTATGCAAACGTCCTCCAGCACAGGTGTACTGTAGAAAAGAGACTTTAACCCTTCCTGATTGGTGGAAAAACTTCCAGCTCTCATGGCCAAACAATCATGGTGATACAAACTAGAAACTGTATCAAGTTGAGCTCCACAGGTGTAATGTTAGTCTAGTGATGTGTCTTGTTATATGGTAGTTGTCTATGGACACCTGGTCAGGATTTTTTGTTTTGTTTTTTGTTTCAATATTCAGCTAGTGATGAAAACAGACTCTTTACTTTACTGACATACTGACAAAAGAATTGACTAAATGCTACATTTTATTTGCTTGTGTTGTTGCGTCACAGATCCTGCCTTTCTCTCTCTCTCCTTCTTTCTTTCTCTCTCTCTCCCGATTGGCCATGTTCTTGTTTTTGTGGAAATATTCACTTTTAATTTTTCTCTTGTGACAGATGCCACAGTGTAACAACTGGATATTTTTCATTTTTTAACAATGTTTTAATGCAGACAATTGCAGTGAATAGTAGCTGATACTCTGTGCCTAAAAACCTCTTTATTATATTTTTGTATTGTTGTGCTATTCATAAAACTGAAGGCTGAAAAGGATTTACCCGAGTGTCGTCTGTACACAGGGCTGGGCGTCGTTAGGACATTTATCCCAAATAAGAACTGAAATTCTTCAGTTCAGTCATAACAATACAAACTACAAATGTACCACATAGATACTACATAGATGAATACTCAGGGTTGCTATAAATGGTCATCCTCAAAACAGAGTTCCGGGTCAGTCCTTGAAGGTTATGGTTCATTCAGGTCGTCTAAATTGATAGTCAGCATCAACCTGACACGTCATTAGTTTTAAAGTGACACGTAGGTTCAGTCACTGCTGATGAATTGGAGCGGGTCAAGGCAGAACTTTCTGATGTGTTAATACTGTGAGGTACTGCTGTGTGCACAGGCTCATGGAAACCAACAAAGCATCATGAATACTGAACCAGGATGTCGCTGTTCTCATGTATTTAATGTGGTGTATTTAATGCAAATGTATACATTTTATACAAAGATAAGATAACAACCAAATGTTTCATCTGAAGTCTATTCCACCTGAAGAGGTTTCAGTTGCACGTGCACTAAAAGATGAAATATTGGTGTGAGGTGTTTTAGATGTTGTTGATGATTTAGCTCTGATGTCGGACTAACTGTCAGTCTAATCTAATCTGATCTAATCTGATCCTTATTACAACTGAATTTAATGGGTGGGGGATTGTAGTCACTGAAGAAACTTGGAAGTTATATGCTTGTCCTTTGACTCCATCTACTGGACAGTATTAGAACCTGAGCTTTATTTTATTTTATGCTATTTCATTTGGATGTCACATAATAGTCTTAACCTGACAATTTTGAGTGCAAGAACCAAAATCTCAAATTCCATTTATTATTATTATTATATATTATTAGAGTTTACTATTACATTTCTATACCCTAAGCCACATGTGTCAAACTTAGGCCTGGGGGCCAAATCTGGCCCACAGTGTAATGATATGTGGCCCGCGAGATCATATCAAATGTGTACTAGAGTTGGCCCGCCAATATATACTGCCACTATATACTGGCAGGATTGGTAGTATTAGCAGTGTATTTCACTTTGGGCCATTGTGAAGTTGAGTTTGACTCTGTCCTAAGCAAATGTTATATATATATGTGTATATATATATGTATATGTGTATATATATGTATATATATATATGTATGTGTGTGTATATATATATACATATTCATATATATACATACATATACGTATACATATATATGTACATATATGTGCTTATACATATGCATATGGAAGTATATATGTAAGGATAAATACAGATATATCTAACCTTCCCTAATCTAATGTATGTATGTAGTATCTGCCAGAACTGCCTATACATGTAACTGTTACTTTAACGGTTTAACAATTTAAACTATTTTATATATTTAAACTATGGTATTGCACTTATGCTTGTGTTATTCCTATTGTTTTGGTGCTGTCTGTCTACCTGTCTATCTGTCAGTCAACAACTGTCCTGTTTGAAAATGATTTCCTTCTTTAGCCAACAATACATTTACAGATGACAACGGAAATAAAAGAATTTCCCTTTCATTTCTTCCAGTTCTACAAACATGTCGTCCAGAGTGTAGAGAAGTTCATACAAAAGGTGAGTAGTACTTGAAGTCAGTCTGACCTGGTAGTATTCTAGTAAAGTATTCTCAGTAAATATGTCATGTGTTTGATAGGAGCTGCTCCGTTGGCCTCTGATACCAATATGTCATGTGTTTGATAGGAGCTGCTCTGTTGGCCTCTGATATCAATTGGGTTTTTTTTGTTACAGTGCAAACCAGAGTACAAGGTTCCCGGCTTGTACGTCATCGACTCGATTGTCAGGCAGTCGCGACACCAGTTTGGCACAGAGAAAGACGTTTTCGCTCCACGCTTCAGCAAAAACATCATCTTGACGTTCCAGCACCTTTACCGCTGCCCTTCAGACGACAAGGTCAGAACGTTTCCGAGAGCTTTTCCTTCACAGAGACTTGATGTTGAAAGATAGACAAATTCAGCAGCTGACTGAACTCGCCCGTGTTTGGCCTTGGCTGACTCAGTTTTATTATTATTGTTGTCTTTATTATCATCTCAGAGGTCACGTTACTTTACTGCCTTTGTTCACTGTGGTTTTGTGTTGCTGTCGTTGTGTCGCTTCATTCAGAGTAAAATCGTGCGGGTTCTCAACCTGTGGCAGAAGAATGCTGTTTTCAAGAGTGACATCATTCAACCTCTGTTGGACATGGCAGCGGGGATACCTCCCCCGAGTGTCACCCCCGTTATGTCGAGCAGCGCTGCACCGGTCAACAACACCACACCTGGTCAGTCAGCGCACATGCACGTGTTTAAATAACTGAAAAATAACCGTCGGTGTGACAAATGTCATATCTGGATGTTTTTTAGCTGATTGGAGATACTATACCATACTGTACAGTGTTGTCAATTTAACGCAAAATGAACTGCACAGATTAGGGGTGTCGAACATACGGCCCGCGGGCCAAACTCGGCCCGCTGGGGTATTTAATCCGGCCTGCTTGATGAATTTTGAAAGGTTTTTTTTGAAAGAAAAAGAAGCACAGACACTTAATGTTCATGATATGTTTTATAAAATTATATTTATTCTAATTAAATATGGGGAATATCTTAATATGCTTGTACTTTGCATGAAAACAAAGGTGAGAACATGTACAGTACTTATTGTTATTTATAGGGGATTATATTATGATTGTAGTGATACTTTTTAGACTGTATGTGGCCCCTGAACCAAAATCAGTTTGACATCCCTGATATAGATACAAGCGATATTGTCCCGAGTATGTATAAAAATATGGAGCTATAGCTCAGCTCTGTGTGAGATTGAATCTTTCGTATCTGTGTATCATCCAGGAACTCCAGCCACACCGGCCACACCTGCAAACTTAGTCCAGGGTCTGCCGGACTGGGCCTCCCAGATTACCAACACTGACACCATGGCAGCTGTGGCCCAGCTTCTACAGAGTCCTCAGGGTCAACAGGTCAGTGTGGTGGACACAGTCATCTGCCCTTTAAAAGTCTGCAATGTTTTTAAGTTATTAAAACAGTGTGGTTTTGTTTTTGTTTGTTGTAGTTGCAGCAGCTGGTGCAGAGTCTGCAGATGCAGCAGCAGAAACCCCAGCCGTCCCTGCTCCAGGCCTTGGACGCCGGCCTGGTTGTGCAGTTACAAGCTCTGACGGCGCAGCTCACCGCAGCTGCTACTGCAAACAGCCTCAACCCACTGGAACAGAGGGTCTCCTCTTTTAACAAGGTACGGCCCGCGCAGCAGTCTGTTTGTGATTTATCACAGCCTGGAAAGCCTCCTGATGTGATTGTGTTACGACGTTCCCACAGAAGCTTCTGGGTCCGTTCGACTTTGGGAACGACAACGAACGCAGCGACGAATCTAAAAAAGACACGTCGTCGTCTCAAATGTGAGTTTGACTCGAGTCTTTTTCGCTCAAACGTGGAACCAAAGTGGTTTTAACATTTTCAGTCAAGTGCTCTGTGTCTAATCCAAGTTGCCCTTCGTCACCAGGCCCATGGTGTCTGAGCCAATCAACAGCTCCCTTTTCCACCAGTTAGCTGAGCAGCTACAGCAGCAGAACCTGGAGCAGTTTCAGAAGCAGCTCCTGGAGCACCAGCACCACAAGGTAGAGCCGACAGACCTTTTCATTTCAGCAGATTTTTCTCGCCCAGATTCCACCATTTTTAGGGATGTCCGATAATATCGGCCGCACAATTATAAAATTGTGAGCATGATTATCTAATATATGTGAGAATCGTTATTGGTTGTTCTCCAATAATGAAAACACGATAATGCAATGCCTAGGCTCTGCCAAATGATGTGTGACCTAAAAATAGTTTTGGGGAAAACAGCTGTATATGAAAGTGAAAGTCACTAGGTGGCAGCATTGTAGCTGATTTTATTAATCTGTTTTAATGTTTTAAGGGGTTGTATGCAGAATGCTTGTGCCAGCTACTCACAACTTTATTTAAAATAGTCAAAGTGTTTCTTTGTAGCAAAATATCTGTCTATGTTTTTAAATTCCCTCAATCCTAAAGCTAAATTATTATTTTCACAAACTCATTGCTGTTTTATAATATTGACTGACATTGAAGATTTATGCTGCTGTCTTTTCCTCTTTAAGGCCATGAGCATGGAAGGACAGGATTCAATGTTTGGTCAAGAGAATTCTGTCGCTGCAGCTCAGAGCAGCAGTCAGACGCAGCTGTCGGAGCAAGACAACAAGATCGACGACTCCATAGATAACCAACAACAGGTATGTGTGTTCTGTACATTTACAAAAAGCAGAGTTTATTCATTATTTATGTCAAACGTTTTTTGTTTGTTTTTTTTCACAAAGAAATATTGATGGAGACGTGGTCTTTTTCTCTTTAGGACATGGAACTGGACGAGGGCCCAGATGGAATGGATGAGGAGAATTTTGAGGCGGAAGACAAGAAGACCGCTAGCACACGCTCCAGGACACACTCGAGGTCACGGTCAAGGTCAGGCTGCTTAGCATTTTGACATTCATTAATATATCTTTTGAGAATAAGTCCTCAAAAACGCTGACTTTTTTTTATTTGTGATTAAACCAAACAGTCTGTGTTGTCCTGAAGGTCACATGACTGTGGGACATCAGAGAAAATACTTTTTGTCTCAGTGCAGAACCGTGGTAAATTGTGAGTTTTCCCACTCTAGGTCTCCAAAGAGGAGGCGGTCTCGGTCGCGCTCCAGTTCGCGGAAGCGCAAACATCGCAAGCGGTCGCGCTCACGCTCCAGAGACCGCAAAAGGAAGTCGTCACGGTCCTACTCAAGTGAGCGGCGTGCGCGGGAGCGAGAGAAGGAGCGACAGAAGAAAGGCTTACCTCCCATACGGTCCAAGACTCTCAGTGGTGAGTGGACGTAGTCCCAGAACTACTGTTAAATGTCACGTATGTTATTATTTTACCTTTTATCACTCACTTTTTTTTATTTACACAGTGTGTAGCACCACCTTGTGGGTGGGCCAGGTGGACAAAAAGGCCACTCAACAAGACCTCACCAATCTGTTTGAAGAATTTGGCCAGATTGAATCCATCAACGTAAGAAGTCTTTCTGGACCGATAAGACATAACAGCAATGTTGTATTATTGACTTAATACCTGGTCAATTTCTTATCATTGGCTCATTGAAATCTATACTACTATATATATGTACATATATAAACATATAAATATAGTAGTATATATTGAAATATATAGTAGTATATACTGCATATATAGTAGTATATATGTCAATTAAATAATAATTCAGTGACAAAATTGAGATATAGGCTACTATATATTGAAATATATACTGTGTTTATATTGAAATATATAGTAGTATATATTTCAATGACAAATATATACAATAATTCAGTGACAAAATTGAGATATAGGCTACTATATATTGAAATATATACTGTGTTTATATTGAAATATATAGTAGTATATTTTTCAATGACATAATACAAATATATACTACTATATATGTATGTGTGTGTATATATATATATAGTGTATATATATATATTTCAATATATATACTACTATATATGTATCTATATATTTATATATATAGTATATATTTCAATGACACAATGTTAATAAGGTTTTGACTCTTATGGACCAGTATGTAAATTATACTGTAGTTGTATAATTTACATACTGGTCCATAAGAGTCAAAACCTTATTAACATTGTGTCATTGAAATATATACTATATATATAAATATATAGATACATATATAGTAGTATATATATTGAAATATATATATATACACTATATATATATATACACACACATACATATATAGTAGTATATATATTGAAATATATACACACTACTGTATATATATATATATATACAGTAGTGTGTATATATTTCAATATATATACTACTATATATGTATGTGTGTGTATATATATATATATATACACACACATATTGTATATATTTGTCATTGAAATATATACTATATATATAAATATATAGATACATATATAGTAGTATATATATTGAAATATATATATATACACTATATATATATATACACACACATATTGTATATATTTGTCATTGAAATATATACTACTATATATGTATCTATATATTTATATATATATATATATATAGTATATATTTCAATGACACAATGTTAATAAGGTTTTGACTCTTATGGACCAGTATGTAAATTATACAACTACAGTATAATTTACATACTGGTCCATAAGAGTCAAAACCTTATTAACATTGTGTCATTGAAATATATACTATATATATAAATATATAGATACATATATAGTAGTATATATTTCAATGACACAATGTTAATAAGGTTTTGACTCTTATGGACCAGTATGTAAATTATACAACTACAGTATTTTTTTTTTTCAAATTCCATGATTTTATGGTTTTTCATCAGTCCAAATATTTCATTCATCACCTAACACCCCCGCGTCTCTTTGTGGTGTAATCTTTGCAGATGATCCCTCCTCGTGGCTGTGCCTACATCTGTATGGTCCACAGACAGGACGCGTTCCGAGCCCGTCAGAAGCTGAGCACCGGCTCCTTCAAGATTGGCTCCAAGGTCATCAAGGTGGGTACCGCCTCTGGAATCTGATTAAGTGCATCGTCATTCTCCTTGTGATTTCCGATAATTCGATCGTCTTTTTAAATCTAATCACAAAGCTCCCGGAATGCTCTACTTCCCAGGGACAAAAGATCCTTCCGTGCTCTGAAAATTGAGAGAAAAAAAAAACCATTTCCTTACCTCCACCTGTCTGTTTCTAAATTAGATCGCCTGGGCTCTAAACAAAGGTGTCAAGCAGGAGTACAAGCAGTTCTGGGACGTGGACCTGGGTGTGACCTACATACCCTGGGAGAAGGTCAAGCTGGACGACCTGGATGGCTTTGCTGAAGGAGGAATTATTGACCAGGAGACGGTCAACGATGGTGAGAATTATCTCTCTTTACTCCTGTTAAGTTAGATTTTTATAAAATCTTTCCGTTCAGACTTAAGTTGAGAAGCTCCTCTCCCAGGAATCGAACCCTGCTCTCTGCTTCCGGGGCAGACATGCTAACCAGCAGCACTACTGAACCACTCGATACATATGTTTAATGGTTTTGTGTTCCTGCAGAGTGGGAGGCGGCCAAAAGTGCTGAGTCAGTGAAGGACGTCACCAGTCAGCCGGTGAGTGCAGAGACCGCAGCGGTGTCCAACACCCAGACTGAGACGTACAACCAGGTCACCATGATGTCTGTACAGGTAAAAAAATGACAAAGAGTTCTAGTGCATGTGGTCAAACTGTACCATGTCCCTGTGTCTCCTGCAAATGAACTGATCTGGGTCTGATGTCTTCTGAACTCTGTCTGGTCCATGTCCATCTTCCAGCTGCCTGTTGCTCAGGCTGTTCCCAGTGCAGTAGGACTGGTGCCCCCCACCTTTCCTGTCACCATGACCATACCACCACCAGGCTTTGGTCCACCACCACCATTCATGAGAGCTAGCTTCAACGCCTCCCAGCCTCCTCCTGGTAAAAGATATTGATGCGCCTCCTACAGGTGAAGAGTAAAAAATTTAAATAAAACTCACAAAGAAATTTCTTTTGTACAGGTTTCCTGCAGGCGGCGCAGGCAGCAAGCATGGCCTCGGCTACGAATTGTAAGTATCGGGAATTTATGACATCACTCCACTCTAATGATCAGCCCGACTATGATTCACGTTCAGTATTCTGTGGTTAATTTGTCGTCTCTCTCTCGATCGCTCGCAGCCCTCGTACAGCCCCCGGTGGCTAACAGCCAGGAAGCTGTCAAAGACTCACCGTTCGCTGCTATGATCCCTCCAACCAGCACCATCCCCAGCAGCTTCATGCCCTCAGCCATCCCTGGGGCTGGTATGTTCAACCACATGAGTGTCCAAAGTCAACAGGCCGCTAACGAGAAAGCTGCTCAGTCTGCAGACATGTTGGACGCTGCTGCTGAGCTAACGCTGCAAGGTCAGGAGCCGTCCTTCAGTTGAAATGATTCGAGTTTAACCAGGATGTCTTTTAATACGTCTGTCGCTGTTTGTGTCTTACAGGGATGCAAAATGCTGTCCGCAGTGGGATGGGTCTCCTGGGGATGCATCCCTCAGCCTCCCTGGCCCACCCGCTGCACCAGTCTGGTCTGACTGGACAGAGGATGCCAGGCCTGCTGCCTCTCGATGTTCGCCCGAACCTCCTTCAGCCCGGAGCTGCAGCCCGCTTCCCGCTCCTCATGCAGCAAAGCCCTGCCCAGCAGGCGGCCAGCCTCCTGGACGGCTCCCTCCACGCACAGGCACGTGCCAGGGCTCCCTTCCCACCGATGGATCCGTTCAACCGGGCCCCAAATCTGACCAATGAGAACCTGTCCAAGACCGAGGACGAATCATCTTCTGGTGCAGATGAGGGCAAGGACCAGGACTACCGCTTCCCTCCGATGGAAAAGCAGAGCACGGGTCTGCTGAGGACCCCTCCGCCAGACCACCGGGAGACCCTCGGAGGTGGAGCCGCCGCAGCAGGTAGGCCGCCCTTGCTGCAAACGCCAGGCGCTCAGTCGACCAGGTCCAGCCTAGTTGGACGCCTGCAGGCTCTCGCGGGCTTCACCCCCGATAACCGCTGGAACCAGACGAGAGGGGACTTTGACGAACGGGACGGAATGCGAGGAGGCCCACAGGGCGGTGCAAAAGGCTTCCAGGAGGAGCGTCCAACACCTGGGCAGAATTTTCCCAACCGCTTTGACAGTCGACCTGCGAACGCAGCAGCCAACGCTGTAGGAAATCCTGGAGCTCCTGGGGCTCCTCAGGGCTGGAACCGTGGCGCTGGAGGTCCAACGCCTTTCGACAGCGAACTGCACCAAGACTTGGACGACAGGAGGCGTCCGTGGGACAGGCAAAGAGACAGGGATGAAAGAGATTTTCATGGAGACTTCAGGAGGGAGATGAATGGTAACCGCCACAACCGCGATAAAGACCGCGAGAGAGAACGAGACAGAGAGCGAGGAAGAGACCGCAGGGAATTTGACAGAGAACGTGACAAGGAGGGAGAACGCGACAGAGACCGTGAACGTGGCGGCTGGACGCCCCTTCTCCCCCTGCCCACACCTCTCCTACCAACTCCCACCCATAACCCCAACCTGACCCTGAACCAAGCCAAACTGCTCGCACCTCTGAAACTGAACCCTCAGATCCAGTCTCGGTTCCAGCCCCCCCTCCTGCCCCAACCTCAGGCCAAACCGTCCGTCATTGGTATGAACCAGCCGCCTCCTCAGGTTCAGGTCCAAACCCCTCCTCCCTCTCAGAGCCAAGCACCTGCATCTGAGTCAAAGTCAGAAACACCAGCCCAGTCTGAGACCACCCAGGTGCGGTCTTCTTCCTCGACCCCAACCCCTGTCCCATCCCCAGATCAGAGCCCTCCGACTGAGGCTGCCGCTCAGATCCCGTCACCGACAGAATCGCAGAATTCCCCTCAGCCAGAATCTCAATCACAGCCGGCTGTCCACTCCCCCCCTAAACCTGTCTCACCTCCGTACAGTGAGACTCCTAAACAAGCCTTACCCCAGGACTCACCCATCTCTGATGGCTCTCCAAAGGATTCGACTTCCTCTGTTGAGCATCGAGAAGATGACGAGGAGACCCCGGTCCCCCAGGCTCACCCGGGCCAGCCGAACTGGGTCAACGGCCGCGGGATGGACGATAGCAGTGTGGCCGAGGTCACACCAGAGGGCTCCCCGGAGTCCACTCCAGATCCTCCCTCCTTTTCTGAGCTCCCAGAGAGGGAACCGGAGCAGCTTGCCTCTCCCGAAGACGTAGACATTGAACAAAGTGAGACCTCGGAGGAAGCTGCGTGTCAGCCAGTGGTAGACACTGTCACAGACACTGAGGGGACATAATCATCACTCAGTAGGTAAAAGATCATTTTGTAAAGTTGTCTTTTCTTCTCTGTACTCATGTCAACAAACCACCACCACCACCACCACTACCACACGGGACACGATGAATACTGACACCCATCAGACACAGTCTGAAACAAAAAAACAACAAAAAACAAATAACATATGATTTTATCTTTTCCAAATACCAGTGTACTGGAATAGAAGGCTTAACTTAGCTGTAGGACGTTTGTTTGTATTTTTATTTCCTTTTAATTTTTTTCTTCTTCTTCTTCTTGAGGTGCAAGTCCACCACTCACATTTTACCAATTTTATCAAATTTTAATCATTTTTTTAAACAAATTGCCTGCCAAAATGTTTTAATTGTATATTGGGGAAAATAAGCTTTGACCTTCCTATGGAAGAGAGTTAGAAATCACAGCTGTTCAACAACGGAGCGATTACAGATGAACACGACACTTGAAAGGACAGTCGCTGCTGCTCACGTTTCTGTCTCTTATTTAAAGAATGCTGCTGCAAAGATCCTGTCAATACTGTTGTTGGTGTCCTTAAAATATTTCTCAGCAGAACAAGCAGAAGCGGCCTGCACACCATGAAACCATGAACAGCGGCCATTAAAATTGGAAATAAATTACAGTTTTCTTAAAATAATAATAAAAAAAAAACCCGCTGAAAATGTTGTATCTTATCAAATGTCTGCAATCTTGTTCCTAATTATGCAACAAACACGGACGATGACATGACAGGCTAAAGAGAACGGAGGGGGGTTTTTGTCATGTCCGGTGGATTTTGTTTTAGGTTGAAATAAACATGATTTTTCTGTTTTTAAAACACATGCTTAGGACTGTTTTCTGACCCAGGACCAGTGGACATAACACCGCATTACACATGTGTATACTTTACGTGCCGTCGCTGCAGTGAATTTGATGTTCTCGTACTTCAAGTCGCTGCTTCAGTATGACACTCGTCCACAGAGCACTTTGTTGGATGCTACCGCGGGACTTGTAGTACTTTGTTTCCAATGACTTCGGCCCGTTTCCCCGAGCTTTTGCTGCGTGACTGCTTGAGGATGAGATTGTGCCTTTTTTTTTTAAATGGATTTGTCATTCATTATACCCTACACTACTGTGATGTACACCAGACTGTGCGTGCACCTCAGTTTCTAAAAGCTCTATGAACAGAACGCTGCCTGCACAGAGTTGACTGGCCTGTCCGTCGAGCCGTGTGTGGGCGGCTTGTACAGCACTCACCCTTAGAAGAGAACAATATTTATTTCGTTGTTCTGTGCATGTAGGCCTGTCGACATGTTTTATTAACATTCTTGTCTTGTTCTTTTCACACTTGTAGCTTTTTTTTTTTTTGTTGAGACATACAATTAGAGTTCAATAGTCTGCTGTTCTGACAGAGCAAATGTCTTCTGCAGGAGTTGTAATGTTGAATAAAAGTTGAAGGTGTATCCGATTTTTGCTGCTCTCACTGTCATGAATCACCATACAGGCTGATGTGATGACGGAAATACAAGCACAGTGAACAATACCACGGTCTAATCCTTTATCCTTTAGGTAGTGGTCGTGTCAGTAGGTACTGCAGTAACCGTAGTAGTCCTTAGTATTTTCTCTAACCTTAAAAATCTAAATTTCTGGGCAACTGTGAACTGACGATGGTTCGCACTGGTGGCGAGTGAGAGACGTGAGAAGTTCCTCGTTTTTGGGGCGTAGGAAAACTGTAGTTTTCGTACTCTACCCATCCCTCATGTAACTTAATAAAGTAAATTTTGGGTATACACAAATGTACGTTCCTTGGCCATACCTCCAGTCAGTGATGAGTAGTTTGTTTTTTGTTTTTTTAATGAGACTGGGATTCTTTCTTCAATCCCTGCAAGTATATCAGGGTTGTGTTCAACTAAACAGGTTAGACAACTCATCTTAGAGATGTGTGTGAGTTACGTTTCCACACCAAACAGAAATGAATGTTTTTTACGTTTTTTTATAGGATTACAACTCAATTTGTGAGCACCAGTGAAAAAACAATAATTAGTGTTTCTCACCTGTTATTTGTGACAAAATCACATAATGGAATTTTTAATATGGAGAAATGTAAAAAAGAAAACAGTAGAACGTGTCGAGAGTTGTTTTTGAAACTTCAGTGGCGTTGGTTAAAATGCGTGAAAAAGTTAATCTGATTAATTTTTACAAAAATTAAGCAAATAAACAGTTTTGACAGACCTAAAATATACAATAGTTAGCATTTATATAGTCTATGTCAGTGGTTCTCAAACTGTGGTATGTGTACCACTCATGGTACGCACGGAGAAATTTCACATTTACATTTTCAGTTGAATAAATCTGAAACACCATGCACAATTAATACAACATTTAAACATAAATATCTTTATAAACATCTCTCCTGTGGTGGAAGCTAACAGTGAAGGCCTACGCTGCTATATTCTAATGTTGGTCATCATGGTGGTACTCGGAGAGATCAGTGTTATCTCAGGTGGTACAGAGGATAAAAAGTTTGAGAACCACTGGTCTACGTTATGTATTTTCAAACACCTATTGAGACTCACTGTGGCTGCAGATGTGTCCAGATTGGTTGGGCCTCCAAAGTTCCCAAAGATCGATCTTTTTAGCTTGGTAATCTTTCTGTGGTACAACTAGTTTAAGACTAGTCAAGAATTGACAGTTCCGTGCTATAGAGACCAGAAAAACTCCAGACATCTGAGATGCTTCGTGAGGGTCAGTTCTCCTCTGCCAAAAATACTAGCGTTTATTTCGCACCGACTGTGAAGGTACATAACAAACAGCGGGCACTTTTACAATGAGTATTTGACTTATCGTCCTAATGAAGTGCACGTGTCTCTGTGTTAAAAACTCCCAATAATTAACAGGCATAAACGTGGCCATCTGGTGCTTGTAAATACAGCAGGGTGAGGAAGGGAGGAACAGATGAGGGAAGGTGACTGTAGGAAAACAGCGGCTACCTTGAATCCACCTCTGACACACAAACACATTTGTACACAAACGTAGAAACAGATCATCGACATGTTGAGCTGCCAAAGGCCTGGCTGCTGCAGGTGAACAAAGGGCTTAGTCAGCACAAAACCTCCCTTCTGTGACCTCACTTCTGGCTCGAGTTCTTTAGAAACTCAAACTTTTAACACAGAGCGTGGTGTCTGCTGAGGCCACTGGGGGCATTTATATTGTCCGGAGCAGTGAGAGGTCGTCGAGTGAACTGTCGAAATGGATCCGATGTCACTTAGTTAGTCTGAAAACCATCATTAATTTACTGCCATATAATTGTCTGCCTCGGTCCGTGTGACATTGATGAACAGAACAAATATAAATACTACCACTAGGTGGCAGCAGACATTGGTCTTAGTGAGTCTGGGTTCTATAGCCTACATAGTCTATTTTGTAGTGGTGTCCTAATGTGTAGTGAGTGAAGTCCACTATATAGGACACTCAATATAGCCCATCATGCATTGCAGTCATGATAACGTTACAGAGTGAGGTGCAGATGCAACAGTAATGCGCTATATATAATTCCCTATATAAGAGTAGCGAGTATGAATTAATGATTTTGGACCCTGGGTTTCTTTCTTCAATTCCTGCGAGTATATCAGTGTTGTGTTCAACTAAACAGGTCGAGGTTTCACACAGTCGGTACACTGTGAGTAAAGTGAAACTAGAATGTCTTTATATTTCATTACATATGCTGTTTATGACATTTGTAATCAGTGGTGCTAAACTATGACGTGGTGGGAGTTTATTTTCAAAGATAAGGTCGCAGCTAGGTCCATCTAAAATTAGGAAAGTGGCGGGTTACACCAGTAGGGGTATATAAAAACACACAGGGTCTATCGACAGTGAAGGGTGAAGTGTTTTACAGAATGCTTTTTAATAGCATTGTGAAACATTCTGCATGTATTTCCTATTATACATATTTATACATATTTTATACATATTATACATATTTTTTTAACACACTGGAGCACTTGTCTGTGTGTATTTTTCTGGCAACACACAGGTCACCTAAGTGCTAATGCTTAGTTGGTTTTGAATTAACTAAATACACCTTTTTTTGTTGTTTTATTGACCTTGTCTGAGATGACAGGAAGTGATGTTTCACTGTTAAAAAAGAGGTTTTGATGTTTAGGTATTTCATGTTCAGTGCTATTTAGTCGAAAAAAATAAAACATTTGTCCAAGAAAGACATTTTTACGCTGAAATTTCACGCAGCATTTAACCAAATATATGTTTACAAGAAGACGTTCACATTACGTTTTCTATTTAAATATCATTATCATAACTCTTGGATCGGAGGTTCTAAAAATAGAGACAGTCTGTCTTTTACGTCGCTGGGTCGGATTGAAAAAGTAATTTACTTGTAAAATAGAGCTGTGATAAATGAGCAGGAGGAAGAGAACAGTGTGGTTGTAGAAGTGTCTGTCATGCATTGTTAAATGATGAGGAAAATATACGTTTACTGACATCATTTCTTGTCGTTCGCCAGTACTGTATTCTGACCACATAAAATAAGCAGTTCCCAAGTACAGCAGCAGAGGGCGCATATCACCCTTTGAATCCTTTAGCAGCCGCGGGAGACGTTAAGTAGTAATGTGTCAATTAGAGCGAACTATTTAAAATAAAAAATAACACAAGGCTCCTGAATACAAGATAACACGGTACTTTTCAAATAATTTACTTAACAATTGTCTTTTTTGAACGTTAAACGACCGTTAAACTGTCAATTAATATGAAAAGACAAAACACTGGTTCTAACGGTTATTTAGTGTAAAACTGTTTGGTCCTGCTTAGATATATATTTATACTTTGTAAATTTTACCGAACATATGTTACATTTAAGAAGTGTGTGCGTGTGTCAGCGGCACCCATTTTGTGACGTTCCCCGTGTTTTTAAAGTACGTTTTGAATAATTTGCGAAGTAATCATTTTAATTGTGTTGATTTTACGGGTGATATTGTTGGCCGTGTAGGATCACGTTAGCATCTACAGCTAACGGCTAACGAAAATGAACAATATGTCCGTGTTTGTATTTCATGAATCGGTCCACAACCTTTTCATTCGTTCCCTAAAAGTTTATCGTCCTCACACACAAAAAACAATAGTCATTTAATTAATTTTATAGACAAATTAAACCGCAACAGTTTTATGTCTGATGCCGAGAACAATGAACATATCGGGAAGAACTGACGAATTTGGAAATCCCTCGATAATTAAACGTACAAGTAAAATATCGTTTTAATATGGCTTATGTTTGAATTACTGATTCATTTTGTGGATTTCTTTCTCTTAAGGTCCTACTGTTGGAGACAGAATTATTTAACGACCAGTTTAAACATAGTTTCTATAAAATATTCTCAAAGTGTTTTTATACAGAGCTCTTTCGTGGGACTTGGGATGCTCTCATTATTTTTACTTTGTGTAAGAACCAACACTGAAGTCGATCTTTTCTGATAGTCGTCCATGTATTTACTGAAGTCATCTGAAATTGTTTTTAATCCATATTTTGTCCAATTCTTTATTGAATCTCTCAAACTCTACAGGGTTTTATGATCTGTTACTCCACTAGTCACTTTAGTTCAGTTTCATGGTACTCTTTGATTTGTTGTGCTTTTGGCTACTTGATGTTTTCTTTTAAAATGGTTCTTTTTCTCCTTTCTTTTTTGTTGCTGTTGAACTTATAGAACTTCACAAATCTCCCATTTCTTGATTTTAAAATGCATCCTCCGATCATCTTACAGCTAGCTGCATTTTCATAATCCAGTGTAAACTAGCGGTCTTTGGGGTTATGTGCTGTTCTGAGTTCCGTTGTATACTTCAGGTTCAAAAGGTGTCTTTTAATAAGAGCTCTCACCTTTTTGCTCTGGTGCAGGCTGTGCTGATTTAAATTTTTTTATCCTTTAAACTCAGGTTTTTCTAAATCAGTATTTTCATAGTTATTCCATGATCTTGCAAATGAATTAAGTGGATTTTTTTTAAGCAAAACACCTGTCGACCTGATTCCGTCCTGTCTAGTAGGGTTTGTTTTTTTTTCCCCCAAGCCATTTGCTCATCATTGACAGATTACATTTTAAAAGCAACTTCTAGCTGGACTCATAGGAGTGGACTTAAAGAGGCTTGACCTTTAGGTGAGGATTACCTCAGCAGGGGGCAGCAATGAGAGAACTTAGTCGTCTATATACCATGTGCAATAATTGTCCTTATTTTGTTCGTTTCTTGCCCAGGTGGTTCTTGTTATGACCATGGGCCATATAACATATGGACCTCTCCTGCAGAGAGGAAGTCAATTAGTGCAGCTGCTGCTTGTAAATGTATTTAATATAACAGCGACACCTATATGTGTAATGTGAACAGGATATGTCCAACTGACTCACTGTTGGCTCCGTGACGAACCCTTACAGGAAATATATATTACAAAGTCTTGAGATTTATTTT